TTCTTCGGTCCATGCGGCTTTTCTTCAGACTCTTTCCAACTCGTGCCACTACCTGAACATTTTTCACTCCTATACATAGTGGCTCAAAGAACTTAGGGCAGTCTATATATCTATTTTTCCTCACCGGGCCTGAGGCTCTCCGCTCAGGTTGCCAATTCCTCACCTCTCAATGGGCTAGCATCAACATTGAATGCTCTTCCTTTCTCCCTCATTAAAATTAACCTAACCTCAAAAGTATCCGCCAACACCCCTCCCCCAAACTTACTTAACACAAAGTGTCAAAGCAATAAGGTTTTTTAAGGCTGATATTGGGTTAATGCCTTGCTTTTCCTTCACAACATGATGGGTTCCACATACAAATCATATAAGTATGAGTGAATCAAACAACTTTTCATGGCATATCTACATCAAACTCATGCAACTATGTCTTACTTTAGGCTTATCTTACAGTTTCGACTAAGTGCATAAAAAGTAGGGTATTCAAGCAACATAAAAATACATAAGCTAAGCAGTACAATTCAAAATAGCCTAATTCTTACATGTTATAGATAATCAAACCAACTTCATCATAGGCATTTTTGGATTTTTTAATTTTTTCAATTTTATGGTTTTTTTATTTAAGAAAGATAAACACAAAACACAAATATTCCTCTCCCCCACACTTAAAGCATACATTGCCCTCAATGTATAAAACAGCAAAGACAAGCAACCAAGTGAAAAGAAAAGAAAAGACATAAACAAAAAAAATGAAAAGAAACGACACAACCTTGGAATGTGAAGCGGAGGACCAGAATTGTTGAAGTTGAAGAATAAAGAGATTTGTTGCATAACCATCCAAGCACACGACCAACTTTTTCAGAATTTTGGATGTTCATTTTCAGCACCATTGGACACCAGAGTTTCGCCCTTCCAACAAACCTAATTGCAAACTAAAATAAATTAGAAAAACAAACCTAAAAAACAGATGATTAAGAAAAACTACGAAAATCCAGAAATCAAAGATCTCTAGATAATCAGGAAAAAAAAACTTAACCACCAAGTTATTAATGAAAGAAAAAGAAAAAATAAAACAAAATAAAAAATTGGGTTGCCTCCCAATAATCGCTATTTTAAAGTCTTTAGCCGGACTCCATGGCCAATCAGTCAGAATATCCATGTTGATGCCAGAAAAAACCATGTTCAGCAGCAACAATGAATCTCTTGTAGTGGCTCTCCTTACCATGAGAAAAAATAAACTTATACTCTAACACCACAACATTCTCTTTCTCAAATTCAATCTTGTACCATGATCCTCTTCTTGGTCTTTCATTGAACCATTTTTCGCATCATCCACACTATCTCCTACACCAGGAACAAACTCACCACATTTTCCTACATTAAACCCTTCTTTTGAAACAATAGGAATGTTCTGCTCAGTGAAATCAACTTGATCTACATCCTTGTCACCAACTCTCAGAATGAGCGAATCATGCTTAACTACTATGTATATACCAGAAGAATCAGAAGAACTTGTAATATCTAGACTTGTAATCTCTTCGGTCTCTTCTAATTCTTCACATTCAAGCTCGGTTTGAGATGGTGGCTGGGGAGACTGGACCAATGAATCATCTTCAGAAATCTTCTCATTCTTATTCAATTTAAGCAAATTTCCTATAGTATCATATTCCGGCAACCCCACACTCAACCTATATTGATTGACCTCTTTGATAAGTTGTTGGCCTTTTTCACTTTGAAAATCTCGAAGAGCTGCCTCTCTAACAATAAGTTGAGATTGAGTAGGTGGCTGTTGATACGAAGACGCTAACTCTCTCATAGTATGTTGACAAGGTGATGACTGTACGGCTGCTAGCTCTCTCAGAGTAGGTTGACGAGCTGCTAACTCTCTTAGAGTAGGTTGACCAGTTGCTAACTCTCTTAGAGTGGGTTGAGGAAGTGGTGGTTGATATACTGATGCGAGATATACTGATGCGTTTGAGTGGTAACAATCCTCTTGAGAGAAATATGAAGCATTTTTCTTCTCAATGTCATCCAGCAATTTATCAATTCTCTCCAAACATGACAACATCTTAGGACTCATATACGTGCTTGCAAAACCAGAATTGTACCCAACATCAAATGAATACCCTTGATAATCACAACCATAGTAAGGATCATAAGACGAATTGTTCCAAGAGTACGGATCTTCTTAATATGTAGGATAGTCTCCATATTCAGAATCATAACCATAATACGGAGTCTGTCTATATCCATAGTTAAAATTCTCCATAATAGCTCAAATACCCTACAAAAATATTGACACAAGAAAGAAAAGAGAATAAAAATTAAAATAAAAATAAAAATAAAAAATTAATAAAACAAAGAAAACTATATACAAATCTAAATTAATAACAGAAATAATCTAGTTTTGATATTGGTTATGCCTCCCTTGGCAACGGCGCCAAATTTGACAAGCCATCGTCACACTAGTCAAATATTAATTACCTACTTAATTCAATTACTAGCAGTAAAGCAGAAAGCAGGGTCGATACAACAGAGAAGGTTACCAAGTACCAGTTAAAAAATTATTTCTTATTATTATTTAGACAACTAATAATAATGATTTTAAATTAACCTAAACCTAAGACTAATAATTAAATATAATTAATCAAATAAAAGAAAACCTAGGGAAAAGGGTTCACCTACCGACTACTCAGTTTAACTCAACCTATAGATATGTGACTTTGGGCTTTCATTAATCTCACAACGATTCACCTATTTAAGAAGTATTCAGTGTCGTGATATAATTCTCTTACTCAAACTAACCCTATGACTACTTTCGTGACTATAGGGTTTAATTAGAGTACATTAAGAACCCTATAATCTACATCTGCAAAGACTGTGTTCCTACTTTCGTGGCCCACTATCTAAGTTTAATATTCCCATGAACTAGTGCTAACCTTCAACCGTCGTTCCTTCAGTTAAACACCTTTAAAGCATGCAAGTGGTGATCAAATACTCAATGGAATAAAAACAAGAACATTAAATATCAACTAATGGATAAGTCACAATCATGAATTAAATTAAATTAAATAGTACGACGGCTACATCCAAAATCCTAGATTAAATAATTTAACTACACATCATCTCAAAAATAAATAAAACAATGAAACCCGGGAGAGAGAAGGCCAAAAGTTGAATCCAAAGTTGCTTGCTTCCTTCTCCTAGCGATGATGTGTGTGATGGAGTACGATGGTGCGTGAAGGTGGTGAAGTGCTGGTGTGCTGCGTGGGAATGGAGGCGTGGAGGTGATGAGGTCGGCGGAGTTGGGGGCTGATGGTGTGTGCGTGGGTTTTGGTGATGGAAGGTGGGTTTTGGTGGTGATGATGCGTGTGGTGTAGAGTTGGTGGAAGGTTTGGGGGGGAAAGGTTTTTGGCGTAGGTTGATGATGGTGGTGAGGTGTGGTCGGCAAAGATGGGGGGCTGAGGTGATTTTTGGTTAAGTTCTCCTTCCTCAAAAATAAAATCCTAATCCTCTTTTTATAGGCTTTCGTCAAACCCTAATTTTTCAGGAATAAGAAAGTTATTTTTTTTCAAGCCAATTTAAATTAAAACTCCTCCAACTTTTCAAGTACTTCAATTTCTTCCTTGTCAATATATCAAATCTTCAATTCTCCCTTTGAGTTGCTTTTTCTTTTCAATTTAGTCCAAAACCTCAACAATTCTTCCATTTGAATACAAAACCTACAAATAAAGAGAAAATCATATAAATAGCATATTTGTACTCAAAATATATTGTAAAAATTACAATTAGAAATATAATAAATAGGTAAAATATAAGCATATCAGCTAGCCACCCACCTGATGAAGCACGGCAGAAATTCACGATCCCTAAACCTTCCTTTGCACAAATCATTGGTGGATCGAAGCAAAATCTCATTGCTAACAAAGAATCATCTGAAAAGGAGACATCTTTCATTAGATCGGAACCCTCAATTTATAAAGGAGAGCCTGCTTTCTTGCTCACACGCGAGGAAGATGATAGATTAGCGGCACCGTTCAGATTATCATTGGTAGGGAAATTCTCAAAGGGGCGGCCAAGGATGGATTTTTTGTGGAAAAATTTTCACACAATCGGATTCAAAGGTAACTTCTCAACTAGTACGATTGATCATAGACATATATTAATAGGTTTTGATTTAGAAGAAGATTTCCAACGCTGTTGGATGAAGGGTTTCTGGTCCTTTCTTCTCATCTTATGAGGGTTTTAAAATAGACACCAGATTTCAATCCGGAGCAAGAATCGTCAATTGTCCCAGTTTGGATTACTTTTGAAGGATTGCCAGTGCACAGATTTAATGCCAAATATTTGCGTAAGATTTCTAGTCTAATTTGCAAACCCTTGAAAATTGATGAGCCCACGCTGAATTTATCCAGACCCTCGATCGCACGAGTTTGCGTTGAAGTAGATCCATTGCAAGAACTACCGAAGCGCATTCATTTGGGAACAGAAGAAAGCTCATATTTCCAAACCATTACATATGAGAATTTGCCGGAGTATTGTGTAGAATACAGAAAAATTGGTCATTCCGCAAAGTCTTGTCGCCACAGCAAGGAGTTCGCAAAAACAGAAGCTGCATCAAAACCCAACCCAAAGAAAACAGTCAACAACGCATTAACTAAACCAATTGGTCATTCTGGATCAGGGAATTGGAAACAAAAGGAAGGTAAAATCAATTTGTCAGACAAGCCAATTCAGACAAATAACGAGCCATCATCTTCAGGCCTGACGATAAAGGAGAAAAGCAACAAATTCCGATTGATGTGCCAAATCTCAGCCGGAAATCTCAAGCTACGAGCTCTGCACAACGGAAGATATCAAAAGAGCATCTTAGCAAAATCTTACAGAAGAGCTCAGCGGGTCTCAATCCCATCGAATCGTGGGAAACTGAAGGCGTTGATCATATCGTAATCCCAGAAGATTCATCAAAAAAGCTAGCTGTCCCCAAATAGCTAGCTGTTTCCATGCAACCTGAGGTTCACAGTTCTTCGTTGAAACTATCGGATCGATTTGATGTATTGGCGGATCTACCAGGAAATGAAGAGCCACAAAATGATCTTGATGAAGACAATGGGAATAAAAATGTAGACGATGATGTAGAGGATGAGGTTTTCTCTGAACAGCTGGATAAAAATCTGAACACAAAAGTTGATTTAGATAATCAAATCTTTGACGATACTTCTCTTAGTTCCCAAACTGAGTTTGAAAATGACGTTCTGGTGCATCGAGGATTCGTTTCTGATGGCGAACAGGAACATAAGAAACGTGGGAGACCTCGTGGCTCTAAGAAGGTCACTCTACTGCCGGGTACTGAAACTCGTCGGCTGACGAGACTACAAGGTGATATCAATCCAATAGTTTAAATGAATAGCTGCCTTATATGGAATGTGCATGGTATTTCTAATAAAGCAAAACAACTCAGGCTTAAAAACCTAATCAGTATGCATTCAATTAAAATTCTAATCCTATTGGAACCAATGGTAGAAAACTCTAGGATAGAAGAATTTAGACGGCTTTTGAATTTTGATATTGCTATGTGTTTAAATTGGAACAAAGTTTAGTTTTTTTGTTCTGCTGTTTTTGCTCCTGTTTTGTTAGGTGGCTCAGATCAGGTCATTCATATTGAAGCTTCAATGCCACATCTAACTGAAAGAGTTTTAATCTCTGCTATTTATGCTAAGTCTTCAAGGAATGGTCGACAAGATCTATGGGCTGAATTGTAGGATTTTTATGATAATCATACAGCTCAACGTTGGATGATCGGAGGGGATTTTAACGTTATTCATTCCATGGATGAATACAATGGGAACTCAGAACTAGAACGGTCATCGATGGACGATTTCAATAACTGTATATGGATTGTAATCTGGCAAAATTACAAACTTTAGGGCCTGATTATACTTGGGAAGGAAATCGTGTAAATAGTCATGTGCTCAAGAAATTGGACAGAATACTCTTCTCCTCAGAGTGGCTAACGAATTTCCTACGGCTACGGTGCAGCATTTAAATCGGGTTCAATCGGATCATAGTCCGGTTCTATATCAATTCAGCCTTGATTTGGACACCAAACCGAGACCTTTCAAGTTTCAAAACATGTGGACGCGAAGGCTAGAATTTCTCGAACTGGTACGTATGAATTGGGATCAAGGAACTGGACTAAATGGTATGCTAGCTTTTAACTTTAAATTGAGACGTTTAAAGCTGCGCTTGAAAGATTGGAATAAGACGACTTTTGTAGATGTTTTTCAAAATTTACGTGAAGCAGAAGACAAGGTCCAGAAAAAAGAGTTAATTTATGAAGTTTCAGCAGATCCAGTTGATAGAACAAGTTTACAGGAAGCTAAAGCTAAACTCCTTTCTAAATTGCAGGAACGAGATGATTTTATGCGCCAAAAAATGAAGTTAAAATGGCTTAAGGAAGGAGACGCTAGCACTGTATTTTTCCACGCGACTATGAAGGAAAAACAAGCAAGGCAAGGCATTCATAAAATCCAGTCTGTAAGTGGTGAATGGTTGAATGAGGTTTCGGCAATTGAAAAAGAAGCGGTGGATTTTTTCCAAACACTACTAACTGATGATGATCTGGAAGGTAGAAGTGAAGCACAAGCATGTTTACTGCAACATATTCCTTCTCTTATCACGAGTGAAGACAATGATCAGCTGCTAAGAGGCGTTACTATGGATGAGCTCAAAATGGCAGTATTCGATCTTGATCCGACGAGTGAAACCTGGAATTGAGGCTATGCTGGTTTCTTCTATACTCATTGCTGGGAAATTATATGTCATGATCTTCTATCTGCTTGTGAGGATTTCTTCAATGGATCGCCTCTCCCCCGAGCAGTAGGAAGTACGCTAATCACTCTAATTCCCAAAAAGGCATCAGTGACAAGTTTTGCGGATTATCGGCCTATAAGCTTGTCAATTTTGTTAACAAAGTCCTCACCAAAATCATGACGGAGCGGTTGAAACCTTTACTTGGAGAGATTATTTCAGAGGAAAAATCAGCATTTTTGGCTAGACGAGACATCACGGACAACATTCTTCTCACTCAAGATTTGGTGCAATTTCTGGACAATAAAACTTTTGGAGGGAATATCATTTTGAAAGTAGATATTCTGAAGGTTTTCGATCGCATATCTTGGAGTTTTCTCAAAGCTACTTTGGAGGCTTTCGGTTTTCATCAACATTTTGTATATCTCATCATGAATAATCTTGGTGGAAGTTGGTTTTCAGTGCTGCTTAATGGAAGTCCAACGGGTTTTTTTCCAAGCTACTGGAGATATTAAACAGGGTGATCCTTTATCACCATACCTTTTTATTATAGTGTCTGAAGAATTGAATAGAAGGCTGAAATTCCTAAATTCTTCGGGGCGAGTTACAAATATGGAATGCCGGTGAGAACTTTGCCAATATCTCACTTGAGCTATGCAGATGATTTGATTGTGTATACTAAAAGCTCTAAAAGATCTCTTGAGGCGTTAAATGAATTTTTTCAGACTTACGAGTTGGCAACGGGCCAAAAGATAAAAAGACAAAAAAGTGATTTTCTAGTAGCCGAAGGAGCAAGTGAAGATCAAGTGCTGCGGGCTCAAAGTATTCTAGGAATGCAAAGGGGATCTCTTCTAATGAGATATTTAGGTTCCAGAATTTTTAAAGGCGAAAAGTGGTCAGCCATTTTCAATATCTACTTGATTCTTTGGATGCAAAGCTATTTAATTGGCGCAATAAACTTTTGTCCAGTGGCGGACGTTTGATATTGATCAAACATGTTCTTTCTTCAATCCCAATCCATACGTTTGCTGCGATTGAACCACCAAGATCCATTGTCCAAGCTTTAGAGAGGAGTGGTGAGACACGATTTGTGATGATTGTTGTTGGAACCGCTTCTCCAAAAGAATAATTTATAAACCTACTTAAAACTATTAACTAGCGGTAAGCAGGGTCGTTCGACAAGGACGGCAGTTAACCACTCAAAATCTGATTAAAATGCAGAAAAGAAAAGAACTAGTTGAACAAATTGTTACTTGGGAGAGTGAGAATAGTCACTTGACAGAGTGAATAGGTAGAAGGGTCAATCACCTTCTTGATGATCCAGTTTTGATTCAATATTCCTGTAGTACATGATTAGTTGTTCGATCAGGCCCCTATGTATCTTTATAATTCCTTCCAAATAGAATAAAGAGTCCCAGATTATCAACCCAGTGAGATTCTTATTTAATCCAAGCCATGAAGTTCTTAAGCCCTTATAGATTGCCTATGCCACCACCGAACTACCGTTGGTGAATGAAACCAAAGGGGTGGATTTCCTCCTTTGTCATAGACTAGATTAGGCAGTTCTAAAGCTATGCGCCTCCTTCCAGATCTTCATAACCATGCAGGTACTTTCAATTAATTGATCAAGTTAACTAAAGGTTAATTAAATCACTTATCTAGGTACAACACCTCATCAAGAAAACTGAATCAAAATCTTCACATAAAGATAGTAGGGATTGAACCCTTAACTGAGTTAGCTACTAATGCTTATTGACTTAAGCATGAGAGCAACAGAGTACAAAAGGTAGGACATGAACCCTAATCAAAAGGTTAGAGGAAAGAAAGGGAAGATGGTAGCAGGGACAGTTCTTCCTGCTCACTATGGCGAGTGGCGTCCTCCACTTGACAAAGTGACAGTCTGCCTTGTTCCTGCTACTACCCTGTTTCTAACCAACTAACTAACTACCTAACTACTGTCTTTTGAACTAGATCTAACTACCCAATCTGTTATCTTTCCTACTGCTATTGGCTGGCTATTTATAGAGATTTGGAGAGACTTGGATTGGTGGAGTTCTGGCCTTCTTCTCTGAAGCAGAAAGGTGAGGTAGCAACTTGCAGCAGAGAAGATTTGTTTATTCTGCAACTTGCCTAGTTGACAAATTGAAGTCTTTTCTTTGGCTGCTCCTTCTCTTCAGCCGCAATTTACCACCTTCCTCTCATCATTGCCTTCTTCTTTTAGTCTTCTTCTTCGGCGCAGCTGCTCCAATTCCCAGCCACAAGTCTCTATTTCTTCATTCTTTAATTCTCAGGAGTCCTAATTAGCAGCAGTAGCAAGCAGCAGCATAAGCAGCATGCTTTCTTCCATCATTATGTCTTCAGCCCCTAATTCAGCCTGAATCTTCTGCCCTTTTCTTCCTTGTTTCCAGGGTCACTTGCTATGCCATTGCTCACCTTTCTGCAACAACAAATTTATCAACTCAGCAGCAGCATCCGTGGGTAAGTAGTAGAGTTGCAGCTGTTGCTTATCACATATTCTCCCTCTTTCTCTTCTTCCACTTGCAGCAACAATAACCTGCAGTGGTGGCAAAAGAATTTCATTTCTTGGACACCAAGATTTCAGCTAGTGGTTCCTCTCTGATTGACAGTAGTAACAGCTACTGCAGCAACAATCAGGCAGCAGGGCAGCTGCCATTCTTCCTCCAGATTGAGTTATGCTGCAGCAGGTTCTTCCACTTGCATCCATTTGCTATCAATCTTCCTTAACAAGGATTTCTCAACTTGCTCCAACTCTGATCAGTCCTTCCCGCAGCTCCATTTCCAACAGCTTTACTTCCAGCAACTTCAATTCCAGCAGCTTCCAATTCCAGTCCTTTTTTATGACTTTTAGTGCAGTTTGGTCCTCTTTTGTGCTGATTTTCCACATTGACCTAAACTGCAAAATCACCGCAAAACTAAGCTGATCCTAACTAATTGACACAAAATTATAAGTAGAAATGAGTAGAAAATGCTATAATAAAGGGAATATGTTTTTGCGTCATCAAGAAGATGCCAAAATTTCTTATGGGGTGAAGCGGATCAAGGTTTGAAGAAGCACTGGCGTTCTTGGAAGCGATTGGCATTCCTGATAGAAGAAAATGGAATCGGCATTCGGAAATTTCAGGATGTCATTGAAGCTTTTGCTGCTTAGTTGTGGTGGAAGTACAAAAATAAAACTGGAATATGGACAAAATTTTTGGCTTCTCTGTCAAATACATCAAAGAATCGAACTACAAGTTGGCTTAGAATCATCAACATTGGTGGTCGGGCTTCATCTCATATAGAAATTTGGTTGGGACAAGGTATGTTTTCTTACTGGTTCGACAAGTGGTCTAAACTCGGTGTACTCTATGGTCTAAATTAGCAAACCCAGCCACCTTTCTCTCACATCTCGGTCAAGGAATTCTGTGAGAATCATCAGTCCATTATGCCGGTCATTGCAAGTTGGCTCACAGGTGCGCAAACTGAATTTTTGAATGATCGAGCAGCTTCTTCAAGATTCTCCAATTAGGAAGATACTTTTATTTGGCAGCCTTCCCAAACAGGAATGGGACAAACAAAATGAAAATTTCTGGATTAAATCTTTATGGAACAAAGTTATTCCAACCCGAATATCTTTTTTCTAATGGAGATTTTTCAACCGTTTGCTACCATTATCAGATACAATCCTTAAATTCGGCATCCATGCTAGACCTTCACGTTGTCCTCTTTGTCTGGGGCAAGAAGAATCTTTCGATCATATATTTTTGGGCTGCTCATTTGCTGCAAGAGTTTGGAATTTTTTTGCAGATGAGATGAGCTTACGTTTACCTTTGTTGGAAAGTCTATGGGCCTACATATAAGGCTGGTTATCTTTGGGGAGTTTTTCTACAGCAAGAAAGACCGTAAATATGGCTCTTCCGGCTTTTATTTTGTGAGAGTTATGGAAAGCGAGGAACTCTTCAGTGTTTGAAGGTAAAAGACTTCATTTTCTTTCTATTGTTTCTGCAATTGAGGCCCTATTTGGTTGTCCAAGAATTTGGGTGAGGAAAGTAATCTTTTTAAATATTTTTAAATTACTTTATTTGGTTTGATTTCATAAGAGTAAGAAAAGTAAAAAGAATCCCAAAAATAAGGAAAATGATGTTATTTTCCCCGAAAATGATTGCTCTGTCTAAACATGTTTTTCTTTTTCCTTTCCCCAGGAATTTAACCCACAAAGCGCGCTTAAATTTTTAAGGACTCTCTTAACTCCTATCTTTATCTTAACTGATCTTCTAATATTCTAAAGCTCTATTTATTTTTCTTCTCTGTTCTTCGACGTCGAAACCTTCCCAACGGCTGTTGTTGCGAGGGTTTTTCTTCTCTTTTTTGGTTCTTCAAACTTGCGGCTATTGCTGCTGAAGCAAAGAGAAAAGAGAAGAAGTGGCAAATTCCAGATGTGATTGTTATGTTCTCCAAACCATTGAATTGGATTTATATACATAACTAGCTTATTCAATTTTACGTATCAATTCTACTACATGTTATGGATTTGGAGAATTCTTGATTCGGTGGATGCATATGGTGCCTTATTAGTGCTTTAATCTCATTGTTGCTTTTCATTATATATATATATATATATTAAAAAACTAAGTACCATTCAAAAATATGTAATGCAATTCTAATTTGACTTGTTCTTGGATTCTCTTTCCCCCTTTTGTTAGGCAGAACTAGTCAGCCGTATAGACCAATTTGTTGTTTGTTTGTTTTTGTTTTTTTTTTTTTTTTTGAAACGGTTGTTGTTTGTTTGTTTGTTAAATATAAAAAGAGCTATGAATGAAATGGGCCTTTTTTCGGTTAGGTTGGCTACATCTGCATGCAATTTGTTTGTTTGTTGATTAAATAAAATAAGTGATTGCAGAATTGATTGTTTAAGTGACTGAATTGTGTTATTAATAATAAATTTATAGATACTTTGACTAAACAGAATGGCTTGGCTGACTTTAAATACGCGGAGGAAGCTATTGGTTTCCATGATACGTTCACACGTGAAAAGAATATGAAAAATCGACACAAGTTAAATGAGTTGTGAAATCTTGAAGTTTTGAGTAAGGCTGAGAGACAAAAGGTTGCAATGAAACTTGTTAGACATGCAGATCTGTTGGATTATTTCCGCACCCTTCATGACCTGGCCGACAAGGAAGTTTTTGTTCTAGAATTGCTTCAAGAGAATTAGTTTGGGCAAAAAAACTATATCTTTGAATTTATACAATTTTTTTCGGAGGTTGAAGTTTGATGTTCACTAGATGTTTCCTTTTTCTGAAATGATTTTTTTTTATGACATTACAATATGTATAAAAATAAATTCAGACTTCAAGTGGCGACTTGATGAATTTTTTTTTGGTGTTTAACTGATGAATTTGTCTTTTTGGTTCACTGTTTATTTTATTGATGCATGGTTAAAAAAATTTATGCGTGTGTATTCTCATTTACTTTAAAAAGGGCATTTTAGATAATTTGTTTCTTATATATTACATTCCGAAATAATTGAATTAATCCAAACCCTGGAAATTAGAATACCAATAATTACATTCCTTGCACATCCAAACACAGGAAAGTAATGTACTTTTCTTATTTTCCTCATAAATAGAATCCAAGGAATGACAACTTTACTTTCCTTTACATCCGGAACAACCAAATAGGCCCTAAGCTAACGTTTCATGTTTGCTGAGAGTTCATAACTTGAGAGCTGGATCAAGAATGGAACAACAAAGACTTGAAAATATTTTTCAAGTTAAGGTTTAACTTCCGAAATTAAAGTCAATCATAATGGTTTCTAGGAAGCCACTAGGCCCTGGGCGTTTTATTTTAAATACTGATGGTTCAGCAAAAGGAAGCCCAGGGGAAGCAAGATGGAGCTATGTGGTTGGAGGGGAGCAAGGGAAAATGATACATGCGGCATGCAGTTATCTAGGTCAAGACGTTAGTTTTAAGGCTGAAATTCAAGGAATACTAGAAGGGCTCAAATAATGTGAATTGCAAGATCTCTCAACAGTCCAAGTGCAGTCTGATAGCAAAGTAGTAGTGGATCTCCTTCTCAAAGGTAAAGATTTTCCATGGAAATTTCATATAGAATTAATAGAGATCTCTAATATTCTCAAGCAGAGGTGCTATCAAATCATACATGTTTTCCGCGAAGTCAATGTTGTAGCTAATTTGCTTGCAAAGTTGGGATCAAATGGTTTGCATTTAGACTATGATTCTTATTTGGAGATGCCAAATAAGATTCGTGGTTTACTATTGCTAGACCAAAGATCCTTCCCATATCTTCGAATCAGGTAAGGTTTTAAAAAGTATTTTTTAGAGTTTCTTCACTTCAAGTAATTTTTTAGACTCAAGAACTAATATGGGATTATGCTGAATCTTTGTACATCAGTTCATAGTTTTAATTGCAATTTACCATTTGAACTGTCAGGAGATTATTAGCATAATCTATGTAAGAACAGTTCATAGCTTTAATCTGCTCAGAAATCGTCATGGAGTTTACTAGAAACTTTTGTGAGACGATTTCTTTTCAAATTGGGTAAGTTTTAAGCACTGCTTTGTGTATTTTTCTTGTTTAAATTAATAAAATCGGGGTCCTCCCGCCAGGTACCGCCTTGGATTCTCCTAAAAAAAGGAATATCTATTTGGTCTACTATTGTAGGTAAAATCATGAATAGTTATGTTATTAAGATAACACACCCCATAGTTATGCGGGGTGAGGTCACGCCTCTTTTTTATTCAAAAAAAAAATAAAAAATAAAAGACAAAAAATGCAGAGGATTTGACATAAGTTACTAAAGAAAAAATATCTTAGGTAAACTTGTTAGGATTAAATGAAAAAATATTTTAATATGAAAATATAGTAAGTATGAATATTGGATTTGTGAAAATATCTAAAAGAACATATCTCAAAACTCAAAATTGTTGATTAGTAGAGTCGGTAATAAAAGAGATGGTAAAGACAAAAGAAAAGAAAAAAATAAAGATGATTTTTTTTTTTTTGGTATAGAAAGATGAAATTGTTGATTAGTAAAGGTTAACAATGTATTTTACTTATTAAATAAATTGCTCAAAATTTTAATTTAACTTTAACTCCCTTAAACATGAATTAAGTATGTTTTACAACCTTATTATTTGGAATTTAAACTATTAGTGTATAGATTGGTGTGATGCCTCAGACCAATTTAATTCAGTATAATTAATTTATGTCAATTAGGTTTTCCAAATTGGGGGCGGAATTACTCAAACGATGTAGTTTCGTCTTTGGAACTGTTTGGAGTAGAGAAAGTCATTATTTTAGCTTTTTATCTGTTTTACTGTTTTATTAGTTTAAATTATGCTTCCTGGGAGTAAAATCCAGAAGCTTCCTTTGTAGCTATCCGTTGGGAGTCCAAAGATGAAGGAGATGACTCACCATAAGGAGACGCTCCTGTATTGTACAAATTATCAGTTTTTGCAATGGAATCTTTCCAGCTATTTTCTCCCTAAATTTTCTTTCATCCTTTTCTCCCCCTACTTCCTTATTTTCTCTGAATTCTGAATTCTGAATCTTAAATTCTGGCACTAAAACTATCAAATCGTTATAGTTGGCTATCAGAGCTACGATCTTCTGACTATGGGGAATTAGTTATGGTGGAAACTAGAACAACGGTGGGAGAAGATCATATTAAGAAGGTGGTCAACGATGCAATTTCTTCTGTGGAGAAACGAGTAGAAGGCAATATACAATCTTTAGACATGAAATTAGTTGGCTTGGAAAATGCAGTGTTGAGTCTAAGATCCCAGATTGAAGGTATACAGGAAGAAGCTTTGCATTCGAAGGCTAGATGGGACAAGATTGAATCTTGGATGCAAATCATAGCTAAAGAAAAGTTTGTGTTTAAAGGAGAAAGCTCTGCCACTAAGTCGGAACCACTCGCGATTCTGGAAACGCCGAAAGTACCCCTAAAGGTTGTGATTCATGACGATACACCGTGGAATGGTAAGGAGAAAGGTAACAGAAACGGCAACAATTGGGTGCCTAGGGTGGAGTTGAGTAATTTCAAAGGAGAGAACCTTCGAGAGTGGATTCGAAAAATGCGAGAAGTATTTCACGTTGTATCAAACACTTGAGACTTCTAAGGTAGCCACTGCAGAGATTTGTTTAAGTGGGAAACAAGAGATTTGGTTTGAAGGGGTGAAAACAGTCAGGGGAAATTTTAATTGGGAAGAGTTTTCATGGGCTCTGATTAGAAGATTTGAGATAAAATTAAGGAAAGATGAATTCGAGGAATTCAACAAACTGCAACAGAAGGGGACGGTTTTGGATTACATCGAGCAGTTTGAAACCTTGAAGTCCCAAGTCCTTAGAAAGATCCAAGGTTAACAGAATCTTATTTCATATCAAGCTTTATCAGTGGCTTGAAGGAAGAAATCAAACCAATTGTGAGGATGTTTACCCCCAGAGACCTTGATTCAGCTATGGAGATTTCCCTCCACCAAGAGATGTCCTCGGAAATGCATGGAAAAAGGGAAAAGTCCACATCTACAGGCATCCATAAGTCTCCTATAATCCTTGGGAGGCAAAATGCTCCTAGAGTTGGTTGGAGAACTGATGATAAGAGCCGTATCAGAATGACATGTTCAAAAAGGTGTCTCCGCAGGAAATACAGTATCGAAGAAATCACAACCTGTGTTACGAATGTGGTGAAAAGTATGCTCCCGGCCACCAATGCAGTTTGAGTAAGGTATACCTGATTGTTACTGAAGAGGAAGACGTAGAGCCACCTGATCTGGAAATCTTGGAAGAGCTGGAGGAAGAGATACTTACAGAAGGGGTAAGAAGACTGCACTTGAACGCCATTGATGGGAAATCCAAGAGGAATACTATCATCATCAGGGGTAAGATCAAAGATATGTGGGTAAACATACTTATTGACACTGGAAGTACTTCTAGTTTTATTGATCCTGGTGTAGTTAAAGCATTATCTTTGCATTATCAGTCAATTGAGCCTTTTTGCATTAAAATGGTGAATGGAAACATAGCTGTAGGATCATACTTGTGTCCTGATTTATGTTGGGATGTACAGCAATACGAATTTGCTTTTGACTTTAAGGTTATGAATCTTAGTGGATTGCATGTAATCTTGGGTGTTAACTAGATGTCTAATTTTAGTCCGGAGATATTCGACTATGATAACGATAATATCTAGTTAACTCGGAGAAGAATGAGATATGTTCTGTATGGTGGAAACCATGATCCTCTGTCAATATGATTAAGATTGATGATCTCCGGGATTATTTGGAGATAAATGATGGGTGTCAAATCAACAATTATTAACCTACTCTAAAACGCAATAAAGCGGCAAGCAGGATCGAATCCCACAGGGAGGTATGCAAATATAAAAATTTTCAATAGTATCCAAAATAGAGAAAAATATGTTAAAATAGAAAATAAAATCCTACAACTAAAGTTGTGATAAAGAAAACAAATAAAATGATGCAAGCAAGTTCAATTATTTATTTCCACTTCAATTTCCGAATCTACCCTAAACTAACATTGGTGAATGAATGTTGGTCGGATCTCCTAATTGTATCCCTAAGCTTCTTCCGAAGTCATAAAGGGTATCTCTACAACTAATAACAAGCATATATTCCTATGGTTGCATTTAATCGTAGAGTCATTAAGATTAGGTATCTCATTTGGCCACCCATGCCTTACACCGTATATTCCTATATCCGGCAAGAAACCAGAAACTTTTACGTTTATGTCATGGTTTATTCTTCCTAGAACTAAAACTATATACTCTATTCCTAGTAATGTATAATTCTCAAACACTAACAATTATTAGGCCTAAATAATTGCAAGCGAAATAAAAAACAGGAAGAATATTCACTCAATAAATCATCAATATAGTAAAGAAAATAATTCTCACAATCTCCGCGTACTTTAAATAATTGAACTAAACAAACTACTCAGAAGACATAATAAAATAAATCAAACTCGAGTTCGTCTGGGCAGCAAGGTTCGCAAAGAGAGTTCAAGGCTCCCGTTCGTTGGTTCTTCGGCTACGCACAACAAAGAAGGGGGCAGAAGCCCCTTTGCTAAGGATATATTTAGGAGATCCGACCAACATTCATTCACCAATGATAGTTTAGGATTAATTCGGCAAGTGAAGTGGAAATAAATAATTGAACTTGTTTGCATCACTTTATTTGCTTTCACTCTCACAATCTTAGTTCTAGGAGTTTGTTTTATTTTTTTCTCTTTTGATCACTATTTGATAAACCTTGATATTTGCTTAATTCCCTGTGGGATTCGACCCTACTTGCTGCGTTATTATGTTTCTAGACTAGGTTAACAATTGTTGGTTTAATACCCATCAATAATAAAAAAAGGAAAAGATATTGCAAAGTCTTCCGTCAGCCAGAGAGGAGTTTGAACCTTTCAGACGCAAACAGAAGCATTCTTCCCAAATCCTTGGAAAGCATGATTCCACGTTTTGAAGTGGTGTTCTCTATTCCCACCGGATTACCACCTGTCAAGGAGATAGAACACTGCATTGAGCTCAAAGAGGGATCACAACCTTTCAAAGTAAAGCCTTACCGTTACACATCTGCGCATAAAGAAGAGATCGAGAGGCAAGTTAAGGAAATGCTGGAAAAGAAAATCATCAGGAACAACACTAGCACTTATTCATCTCCTGTCTTGCTGGTACCAAAGAAGGAGGGGGAATGAAGGTTCTGTAATCACTACAGGAATTTAAACGAGATGACCATGAAAGATAAATATCCCATTCCGGTAATGGAAGAACTTCTGGATGAGTTACATGGTGCAAGTTATTTCTCCAAGCTGGATTTTTGATCGGGGTATTTCCAAATCAGAATGACAAGCCAAGATGTGGAAAAGACGGCTTTTCAAACACAACACCGGCATTTCGAGTTTGTAGTGATGCCATTTGGTCTTACAAATGTGTCGGCCACATTCTAGTCCCTGATGAACATTGTCTTCAAACCCTTACTCAAAAAGTGTGTTCAAGTGTTCTTCGACGACATACTAGTTTACAGCCAAACCTGGGAAGAGCATCTCAAGCCTCTTGAAACAGTGCTGTGAATTCTACAAGCTCAGCAGCTGTACGCCAAAAAGTCCAAATGTGTGTTTGCCCAAAGGAGCGTAGAATATTTGGGACACGTGATTTCAGCCGACGGTGTTAGTATGGACTTGGAAAAAGTGAAGTGCATCACTGGTTGGCCACTACCACAAATGGTAAAGAAGCTGCGGGGTTTCTTAGGCCCGACCGAATATTACCGTCAATTCATTCAGAGGTATGGCATACACAGTGAACCATAACTGTTTTGCTTAGAAAGGATAATTTCACTTGGAATAATGCGGCCTCTTTAGCCTTTGAAGAGCTCAAACAGGCAGTTGTCTCCACTCTGGTACTCAGCATGCCAGAATTTTCCAAACCGTTTGTCATAGAGACGGATGCTTGTGAATATGGGATGGGCGCTGTATTGATGCAAGACAAACACCCAATTGCATTCTTAAGCAAGGGATTTTGCACTAAGAATCGAGGCTTGTCGGTATATGAGAAAGAGTTACTTGCAGTGGTAATGGCCGTGACGAAATGGAAGCATTATATCATAGGGAATCACTTCATCCTGAGAACGGAACATCAATGTAACAACCCCGGCTTGTCGGTCCTTTTTTTTTTGTTAAATGCTTATCGAAATAATTCTAGATCAATGAGTCGAGGTGTTACCGCTTTGGCTAACCGCTAAAGCTATTAAAATAAAAGGGTCGTGATAAAGTAAAGAGGATATTTTATTATATGATGGCAACTACCAATGGGTACAATATTACAGGTCCCTTATTTGCAGAATCAAGGTAGGTAACACAACTATAACCTTACCATTATTTCAAACTTATAAACTAAAGACTAGCGTAATAACTCTGTAACAAGCAGACCTAAATACGATAATTCATCCGACTCTACTCTCCTCGTAATTCTGCTCATGGGAGTGATATTTATATAAAATAAAGGAGTGAGCGTCGTGCTCAGTGAGGTCCACACTATTAGAGGTATATATATTGAAACAGAAATGATCAAACATTTCAAAATAGAGTTATAGAAACACATACCAGACAAGAGCATATTATACCACATAAGCAATTGATAAACGCAAATTTTAAAATGCCACGGAAAGAGTTTATCCAAAAGCCGATATGGCAAGAATGGTTAAACCCTAACCCTAGCCATTTCCGTTAATTCTAGTCAGGCTATAAAAACCTGATAAACAGTCAGAAGGAGCGACCTTTCTGACAAGGTACCAATTTCATCTCAACTTTCACTCAATACGCCATTTCGCGACCAGATATCTCAAGAGAATTATGAATAGCCACTGTTGGCAACGGACATGACCAAGCCCTATGCCGGCTCATGACATATTTGCTCAACCAGTCGCCTTAGGCCCTTAAGCATGTACATATAAATGCAGATATGACTTATAGCCACACAGAGTTCCATATTTATCAAACAATCAAGCCGAATAACAAGTTAACTCAACAAATAAACCCTAAGGCGAGTAAGATAACTTTAGGGCTTAATAGCAATATTCAAAAAGACTTTTAAATAATGTCTTTGTGTGTAGTGTCTTTTCAAATATATCCATACTCTCCGGTTTTGAAATAATTTTAGAAAAAGGTGAGGATTACTCACAAGTACTATTTTTAGGAGTTGTCGCCTCCGCGGAAGTGTTGCCTGCAACACATATTGAATAACACTAAATACTTAGATATTGCCGGTAATTCATACCATTTGTTTAGTAATCACATTATACATACATATATATATATATATATATATTATGTGTCTATATATATATCTATCCTAATAGTTCTACTTTTATAGTTTAATAATGTAATTGTATAGATGAAAAGCCATAATTCCTTATTGATTTAAAGTCTCTTAACTAAGGTTAAGTCTTATAAATTTAGATTTATTCTAAAATATCTGAATAATTATATAAGAAGGAAATAATGCCTACTTAATAATCAGAGAAACGTTTTCAAAGTTTAAAGCTTAAAGTACTAAGCTTTTGTTCTAAAATTCAGGATGAATGACATTTCAGGCCATTTTTGGGCGACCAAACGGCATCTCTAAACAATGAATCAGGGTTCATGTTATATACCAATGGAATGCCATGGAGTCTAGTTTACAAACAATAAATGGCTCCTAAATCCAAGTTTTCTGCAGAGAGTTACGTCCATTTTAGCAGACGCGTACGGTGCTGCAGTCAGGAAGCATGGTTGCGGGTTTGCTAACTTTCAGTCGTTTTAAATGATGCTAATCCATTCTTGATCGTTCTAAGTACAGTATTACATGATAAAGAATTTAAACTATAATAACTACCAAGTATAAACACTACTTAACTCAAGATTACTCAACTTGAAGGGAGATTTATTAGTTACTTCACTTGAGCAAGTTTTCCCACACGGTTGCTGCTGCTATCTTTTCCTTCCTCCTGTTTCCTTTCTCCAGCATTAAACTTCACAAACTCACTTTCTTTCTTGTCCTCTTAGTATACTTTAGAGTAGTATTTTTCTTTTGATTATGAGTGAATGACCAAATCCTTTTTTTTTTTCAGCCTATTTATACTAGTTTTTCTCCAACTTGCTTCACCTAGTGACTCTAACTCCTAGACCTCTTACTCAGCCTTCAATAGACCTAACAACTCTTCCTTTCAGTTGCTTGGTAAGCCCTAGGTTTTAGCATGTTCTTGGGCCACAATTCCAGTATTCCCTTTGCCTCCTTTCCACGTTTTTCTTTCACCTTTGTTGAATCATGTTACTAAGATGAGCAAGGTGCTTGGTTCAGCTAGTACTTATTAATTTATTCTTTAAGGTGACACACCCATATTTCTCAACTTTTTCAGAATAGCATGAACGCATTCCACATACTAGATCTCCAATGACTAACCAATTCTAGTATGCTTCTTCATAGCTTAAAACTTTTGCTTAATCACTACTAAGCTTAGGTAGTAGGATAGTGTTGTGAGCTGTCTAGTTCATATTATTTCTGATTGATAGCTCCATGTCCTTCCACGTTAATAACCTTAGCATGAATAACCTATTTACATTAGTCTCATTCCATGAATGTAGTTCCATACAACCCCAATTTCTTTCACCATTATAGCCTTAGAATGTAGGATTGTATTACAAGCTACTACGTCCCTTTGTTTTACTATTCCCTTTTGATCAACAACTTTAAATGATAATATCTTAATTCTTATCTTAAAAATAGTTTGCATTCCTTCAATCGACTACTTAAATACCAATGTCTTGATTCTATTTTTTTTCCTCTCCAACTAACGTTTGTAGACTATAAATTATTTAACTTAATCTAGAGTAGTTAGTTTTTTAGCTTAGTTTGAGTAAATATCAAGCATTCCACATTATAAATTTATCTATATTTACCTTCATACGACTATAACAAGATAAAGTATAGAGGTTAAAATTTTAGGGGTGTTACAATCAAGCTCTCAAGTTTTTGCTGGAACAAAGGCTAACCACTTCGATGCAACATAAATGGCTAACTAAGTTGTTGGGTCTCGACTACGAAATCCAATACAAAAAGGGAGTAGAAAATATGGCGGCTAATGCCTTATCCCGACTGAACCAAAAGCCAGATGATCAAATGGAGAAAGAGGCAAAGGATCCTAATCAATGGTATGCCATAACTTCATTACAGCCAATTTGGATGGTGGAAGTCTAGAAAAGCTACAAAGGAGATGAATTAGCTTAGCAAATACTAGCAGAATGTGCCATCCATCCCACTGAAAATTTTGAGTACCAAGTAATCAATGGGCTTTTGAAGAAGGGAGGGAAAATATACATTGGCAATTCCGGGGAGATAAAGTAGAAAATTATAGAAACCATGCATTCCTCCTCTCTTGGTGGTCATTCGGGGCAGGCTGTCACTTTACCCCGAATTAGGTCCTTATTCTTCTGGCCTAAACAGAATCATGCGAAGTATGTCAAAGATGCAAGAGTGAACATGTGAAAACTCCCGGTTTGTTGCAACCATTGAGTATACCCCAGCAAGCTTGGAGACACATTTCTATGGACTTCATGGAAAGGCTGCCAATCTCAGAGCAAAAAAACGACACCATTCTGGTCGTGGTGGATCGATTGACCAAATATAGACATTTTTACGCTCTTTCTCACCCCTTCACAGCAGCTTCAATAGCAGAGCTCTTTCTCACTGAGGTTTATAAATTACATGGTTTACCTGAAACCATAGTCACTGACCGCGACAAAATATTCACCACCCACTTTTGGGAGAATTATTCAAGCTGCTGAACATCCAGTTACGCATGAGTACGGCGTATCACCCTCAAAGCGATGGCCAAACCGAGAGGGTAAACCAATGCTTAGAAAGTTATCTTCGTTGCTTTGCCGAAGTTAAACCAAGCAGTTGGTGTAGGTGGTTATCTCAAGCGGAATGGTGGTATAATACCAACCATCACAGCAGCATCAATATGTCCCCAGATGAAGCACTTTACGGCAATAAACCAATTTCCCTTCCCTTAAGTCCTTACAACGATGTAATCCTTCCGGCTGCTGAAGATATGCTGGAACAACGTCACCTAATCATGAAGATCCTCAAGGAGAAATTAGTCAAAGCTCAGAGCCGTATGAAATACTATGCTGACATGAAAGGATCTGACAGGGAGTTAAAGGTGGGGGATTGGGTGTATCCGAAGCTTCAGCCATACCGACAACAAACCATACCATCCGCAACATTGTGAAGTTAATTTACAAGTGTTATGGACCGTATGAAGTGCTTGAAAAAATTGGGACGGTGGCTTACAGAATAAAACTTCCAGCTGATGCCCGCATTCATCCCGTCTTCCATGTTTCCCTGCTGAAGAAACATCATGCCAATCGACTTGTCAGTCCAACATCTCCCCCTGATTTCTCACACCATGAAGAAAGTTCCTTGTTCCCAGAACGAGTACTGCAAAAGAGAATGATCACCAGGAATCGACTGACTGTTGTGCAGTGGCTCATTCATTGGAGGGGTTTGGAAGTGGATGATGCATCCTGGAAAGATCGTGACTTTATCGTGAAGCAATTTCTGTCTTTTAAAGCTTAAGGACAAGCTTTGTGGAAGAGGAGGGCAATTTGTCACGCTTCAGACCAATTTAATTCAGTATAATTAATTTATGTCAATTAGGTTTTCCAAATTGGGGGCGGAATTATTCAGACGACGTAGTTTCGTCCTTAGAACCGTTTGGAGTAGAGAAAGTCATTATTCTAGCTTTTTATCTGTTTTAGTGTTTTATCAGTTTACATTATACTTCATGGGAGTAAAATCCAGAAGCTTTCTTTGTAGCTATCCGTTGGGAGTTCGAAGATGAAAGAGATGACTCACCATAAGAAAACGCTCCTACATTGTACGAATTATCAGTTTTTGCAATGGAATCTTTCCAGTTATATTCTCCCTAAATTTTCTTTTCTCCTTTTCTCTCCGCTTCCTTATTTCCTCTGAATTCTAAATTCTGAATTCTTAAATTCTGGCACTAAAACCATCAATTGGCCACAAGGCCCAATTACTCAATTTCAAAACCAATAACCATTATTAATTATTAACCCAAAAAAAAGAAAAAAGAAAAACAATTGTTGTTATGTAAGCTCTGCTTTGGTGCTTTCCCTTCTCCTATTTCGACAACACGATCAGCTCCTTCGAATTCCCACCGAACCAAGACTTTTACCGTCCGATAGATCGTCGCCGGCGTGATGGCCGGAAAATCCCTCATGTGCAACGACTGTGGCGCCCGATTGAAATCGGTGGAAGAAGCGCAAGAGCACGCGGAACTCACCAAACACACCAACTTCGCTGAGTCAGACGAGCCCATTCTTAGCCTCGTCTGCACCGCTTGCGGCAAGAGTTGCCGTTCCACTACCGTACGTTTCTATTACTTCTGAATCTTAAGTTTTATTGATGAGAATTAGGATGTTAACTTGGTGAATCGAGATGCTTTTTGATCTAGTTCGAGGTGTCTTTGCCGTGAAGAGTTAGGATAATGTAACTCGTTTTTTTGGTGGTATTCACTTTTTTATGTTTCTGGAGATGATACCGAGGTGAAGCCTTAGTGCAAAGTATATGGTAGATTGCTTTGGGAGATTCTAATAGCCTGTGATATGCAAGATTGAATCTTTTCTTTTTGAATAAACTAAAATCTTAATTTTTTATTTTTTATTTTTTTGATTTGTTTCCCTTTTGTGCTTATGAATTTATGAAGTTCCAGGAACTGATACAAGTTTGTTTAGTATTTTGACAGCTTTAAATTAGACATACTTACTGGCATTAGTATCTGAAGAACTATAATAACTGCTATATAGTTTAAAGCAAAGAACTTTCAAGTTGGTTGAAATTGAAAATCATACTTACGGGCTTGTGATGCTTTTCTACCTGGAGAGTTTTAGTTGGCATTATACAGGCCAATATGTTAGAAGTTTCTATGCTTACTATATTCAAATGTAAGAAATTATGGGAAGGTATTTTTTTGTTTAAAGTTTCTCGAATGATGCATATAATTTGCAGGAGCGTGATATGCACAAAGTTCGGACTGGACATGATGAGTATGTGGATAAGACATCAGAAGCAGCAGCACCATTAATTTTAGAGGCTCCGAAAGCGAATGATGATGTGATAATGAGTGAGGCTGGTGGTAGCCAAGAAGGTACGAAATTTTTTTTTTGAGATTGAGCTGATGAATAAGATACTTTATCAACTAATGTGTTGCAATACAAGTTTGTATGCTGAAAATACAATGCACAGGCAAGATTGTCGAGCCACTAATCTGATTTAGATAATTTCGATGATGTAAGAAAATGACATCATGGGCTTACGCTTAACGATGTGTTGAGTGACATATCAATCAGGCGTTTCTGTTTGATTTCCAAAACTCTTTAAAGATATTTTTCTCTAATCTGATCTGGCGATTAAATCCAAAAACTATTTCAGTGGTATCATAAATGATGTTTGAATCAGGACTTGGGTTGAAAAAACTTTTTTCCGGCCAAATATTTCTGGTTCTGCATCACATGGCAATAGTAATGTTTTACAATAGCAAAAAGCTTTTCATTAGTTGTATCCAGTCTAATCATGTATTATTTTATGTTAGAAATGGTTGTCCCTGAGGTTGATGAGAACTTGCTTAAAGTACTTGAAGATATGGGGTTTTCCAAAGCGAAGGCCATACGAGGGATCCATTACTCTGGTGAGAATTATGATATGTCAGAATTTCATTGTGTTTTTGGCAATCTGTTGCAATTTTCTCGTGACATGAACTGTTGGTGATCAGCTTTATTCAGGTTGTGATTTATGTATTCTGTGGTGAACCTATTAATTATTTTGCTTCATCTGGCTTTTAAATTCTGTGTGATTAGTGTTTGTATTAATCCAACACCTTCCATGTGCATGGGCACTTGGGAATTTTGTCGCTGCTTCATATTATCCGGAGGTTTTACATGTATTAATGAAGATATACTGCACCTTATGACTTATTTAAGATTCAATGAAGAGTGCTTTAAAGCTATTGCAGTAAGTCCTAAAATTCCTCAAAGGCACGTGGAAGAATAAGTTTTCCGTGTAACTATTGAGTTGCATTCTTTGCGCTGCATGTATTCTTTGATCAGATTTATATTCTGGACCTTTTTCCCCCCATCATTCTTATAATTTGAATACGTATACAGGAAAATCTGACATGGAGGAGATAGTGAGTTGGATTGCCGAACATGAGAATGATCCAGATATCGAGGAAATGCCAATGGTAAGTTATCTCTCTTTGGATAGTGATGTTTGAACAAATCTCCATGAAAATGGGGAAGAGAGAGAGAGAGAGAGAGAGAGAGAGAGAGAGAGAGAGAGAGAGAGAGAGAAGGTAGGGGAAATGGGATTGTGAAGTTGAGCATGTGAACAACCCTAACACTAGAGAGTTCTAACTCCAATAAAAAGGGAATGGGAAGACCTACAAGTTTTATAAACTTTCTTGGAAACTAATTAAAGACAATGGGAAGGCCTACAAGTTTTGGGAACTTCTTCGGAAACTAATTAAAGACCTGATTCATATAAGCTCAAGTAAAATATGCATCTTAGAACACAGTGGGGAAAATGACGGCAGAGTCACTCCTTACATAGTGCTATAACAGCTGCTTGGCTGTTGTTGTTATATGTCTTGCATGTCATAGATGTTTCTCAATAACAATTTCGAGTGATATATGCTTGATAATCGCACTAAAAACTTGTTTGATTATTCCACCTGTGATAAGTTAGGCCCTCTTTGTATGTTATTGCAGTTGAGTGTTTTGAGAATAAGAAAGCAAGGTTTAATGGTTTTAGAATTTTAACTGAACTCTTTGATGTCCTTTTGGTGTTTTTCTTTTAGTTTGTCAAAGTGAACAAGATCACGAGTTATTAGCTTGTGCAAGATTAAGGCCTGCCCTTTTTTCTTTTGGTTCATTATCAATCCATTGATTAAGCCAAAACCAATATCATAAACTTCGCATGCTGTACTTTATGAGCGTATCTAGCTCAATATCCTTGCTATCCATGTTGGGTTTAGGACATGCAGCTTATTGAATTTCTAGTCTCCAAGCTTTGGAGGCTATGAAAATTTTAGAGGTAGTTAACTACTTAATTTAGTAGTGATCAAAATACTTTGTTGAGGGATTTTGTACTTTGATATTTGTGTCTTGATTGATTAGTTGCATAAAAACGTTTGGCTCTTCTAAATGTAGTTTTTGGTTGAAGTTTGGAAGTTATACATTCTATTGTTGTAAAGTGAATTGCGTATCATTTACGTGGATTATATGTGCCATATTCCTCTTCACTACCATACCGAGTTTCAATTACTGATACTTAATCTTTCTTTTTCTGTAACAGGTACCTGTTAGTGCCAAGAAATCAGAAGCTCCAAAGCCCAAACTTACGCCTGAAGAGATGAAGCTAAAACAACAAGAGCTAAGGTACTGTTTCTTCCGTGCTTGAATCTAAGCTGATACCTGAATCGATCTGTTTGTGCAATTCCTGATTTCTCTGACTGTGCAACAAGCAATCTTTCTTACAAAGCCTTCTATGGCCAACAAATGAAATGCCCCTTAGAAACTAGAGGCCAAGAACTATAATCCTTTTATGGAAGGCATTTGAACTTATTCTATTTTTGTACCCAATTATACCATCATGATGTTAATGTTACTTCTATTTTTTATTGGTTTATACCAGCTCCTAAACAAATGATTTTTAAGTGTTGATAAAGAATTTTGCCATTCTTGTTTCCTTCTGATTATACTTCTTGAGCATGGTGCACTGATGTTTGCAGGGAGCGGGCCCGTAAGAAAAAAGAAGAAGAGGAAAGACAAAAGGAAAGAGAAATGGAGAAGGTTTTTATCTTGTTGTCCTGGACATCTCTTCCTCTTGACTTGCATGTAGCCTTGTTGCCTATTGTTAGACAGGACATCTGAAATTTGTAATGACATAATGTATTGTTTACGTCAGGAAAGAATACGAAGGGGTAAGGAGCTTCTTGAGGCCAAGAGAATTGAGGAAGAAAATGAAAGAAAACGGTGTGCCTGAACTCTTTTATCCTTCTTCTGTAACTTATTGCATATCTGGTTAAGCTTTTCACTCTGCTTTTTGTTCATTCTCCCAGTTTGATTGCACTTAAGAAAGCAGAGAAAGAGGAGGAAAAAAGGGCAAGAGAGAAAATTCGCCAAAAGTTGGAAGAAGATAAGGTTCCAACTTTTTCCTTTATAATCTTTTGTTGTGATTGAGTGCAAACATGATCTTAACTGTCCATGTAAAACTTAAGGTCTTTCTCTTGCAAAAAAGGAATGGGTGGTTCTCTGTGAAAAGGGAAATGCTACTACCAATTCAAAATTCTGTTGGCTTATCCAGTTGCGAAGGATGATTTTGTTCCTTAAACCTTGCTTCCATCGAAGCTGCAACTTTACTTGGAGTTCTTAGTCAAAGATTTTTTATGAGATATAGCCAAACATGTGAATTCTGTAAATCTTGATGCCAACCACTTAAGAAAGTAACTTTTATTGTATTTTCATATCGGTTCGATTGTCAATGTTTAGCTTCATTCAACACTTTACTATAATGGTGAGGCCTATCATTTCTTATTTCAAGGTTTGAACTTTTTCATGATCCATGTTGACAGGCTGAAAGAAGACGAAAACTTGGTTTGCCTCCAGTAGATCCAGCTCCAACAGTTCCTACTCCTGCACCTGTTGTTGAAGAAAAGAAGGTTTGTGTTGTCTACATATCTGAATATTTGGTGATTTCTTATGAAAGGTGAAAAGCTTAGTGATGCAGCCTCCGCTTGCTTTTTATAGATATCGTTGCCTGTAAGACCTGCTACCAAGGCAGAGCAAATGAGAGAATGCCTCCGATCTCTAAAGCAAAGTCATCTGGTAAGATGAGACTTGCAAGGATTTTAAGTGCTAAGAATTGCAATTCTGGTGGATTTACGAAAATTATTTCTTGTTTGCTTTGATTTACCAGGGTGATGATACTAAAGTGAAGGTTGCTTTTACCACTTTGCTAACCTTTGCAAAGAACGTGGCACTTAATCCGGATGAAGAGAAATATCGTAAAATTCGAATCACTAATGATAAATTTCAGGTAGGGGCCATTTAGTTTCTTCTGGATGTTAATAATTTTCTGAATGATTATTGATAACATCCGTTAACTACTAGCTTGTTTATTATTCTGCTGAAAGATGGACCGCGCTTGGAATTCGAACTCTAGCTTTTTCCGATCTTCTTTAGCTAAACATGATCCTCCTAGAGTTTCAGGTGCTTCCAAACATTAGTGTTAATTATGAAGTCTGCTGCACTTGCTAATAAGGCAACTCTTTTTTCGATTATCAGACCATGTCGAAAAGGTCATCAACATTGGTTTTCATTCTACTTCAGCAGAAAAAGAAATAGAAAAGAATACATCAGAGGAAACAGATTTGTTGTTTAGTTGTCCTACTAGGCCAACCAAAACATTTTCTTCTACATGAGTAATTTATGGTTGTGTAAGCCTTTTTGTATCCTCGTTTGCCGTTTGTTTGATTTTACAAGTAATAATTGTGTTGTCCTAATTCGAATATCTGCTCCTTACCGTGAATTTTTTTGGGTCGAACAGGAAAGAGTGGGAAAGCTGAAAGGTGGCATCGAGTTCCTTGAGCTCTGTGGATTTGAGAGACTAGAAGACGGTGAACACTTGTTTATGCCCAGAGAAAAGGTGGACAAGGCGGTGCTCAACGCAGCTGGAACTGAGCTGAACAGTGCAATTAACAATCCCTTTTTTGGAGTTCTCTAAATCGAATCTGAGCTTAGAGCAAAGCATGTAAATGATTGGATATTTTAAGGGATTTGTCTCTTACATTCATTTACTGTTTTTTTCTTACAGAAAATATGGGGGTAATACCCATAATCAATCAAGATTGTCTTTTTAGCCTCAAAAAGTTCAATAGTTAAATTGTTTCACTTTCAGAGTTGAATATGACGAAGTCTGTTGACATTTGTGTCTTGAATTTTCATTGTTCTTTGTGTGTTTGTCGCCTGGATTATTTTGTGAAGTGAAACGAAGCAAGCATGAAGCAAAAATGAAAACTGTCACCCTAAAAAGATTAGTGGAGCATTAACATTTATATAAATTTACTTGAGAAATATTCATACACAGAATTCAGAAACAATGTCTAATTGCAATTGTACCTTTCTTCTTCTTCTTCTTCATTTTTTTTATATATATAAATTTTTAAAAAAATTTTATCTTTCTTTTGGAGGGAAAAACATCAATTATCTTACTTTCTTAATGAACCATAATTATTGTCTAGTTTCAGTTTTTATTTCTAGTTCAAATTGTATTGAAAGTGAAATCTCAAACTGGACAATAACTTTGAGACTGAAGGAGTACATTGCCCTAAAATAAAATAATAATAATAAAAAAAACTCTAAAAGCTTAATTTTACTAGTAAACTCTGGATTTATTAGAGTTGATTTGATTTTGTGCTCTGCCACTAGATTTCCTCTATAAAAACTCATCTAGCTGATACCAAAAGGATAAACTGAAAGAAATCCTTAACGATGAACAACGACTCTTCAAGAGTTCTCTCAAAACTAAAAAACATCTTTCCCTCCAAATTACCCACAACAAGGAAGAACCCAATTTCTGCTAACCCCATCAAACCTCATCAATCTGCTGCTACAAAGATCATCTCTCAAAATTCAAATGATCTTGAAGCCCATTTCATTTCTCTTATTCATTCAGCCAAGACCACATTCCAACTTCATGAAATCCACGCCCAAGCAATCCGTTCTGGCATCTCTTCCAATAGTAAAATCATTACCCAGCTGATTTCTTCCTCTGCTTCCCGCAACGCAATTCACTACGCTTTAAGAATTTTTGATTCCTTTCATGACCCAAATGTGTTTTGTTTTAATGCTTTAATCAGGGGACTGACAGAAAATAAGAACTTTGAAAAATCGATCGAGTATTTCAAGCGTATGATAAGGCTTGATGTTAGACCCACTAGGCTTACATTGCCGTTTGTGTTGAAATCGGTTGTGGGTTTGGGTGATCCAAGGCAGGGGACCATGGTTCATGGGGAATGTTTGAAACTTGGGCTTGAGTTTGACAGTTTTGTCAGGGTTTCTTTGGTTGATATGTATGTGAAGCTTGACTTACTGAGTCTTGGGTTACAGTTGTTTGATGAAAGTCCTGAAAGGAATAAGCTTGAGAGTGTTCTATTGTGGAATTCGGTGATCAACGGGTGCTGTAAAAATGGAGTTCTGGAGAAGGCCATGGAGCTGTTTGAGGCAATGCCTGAGAGAAATTTAGGGTCCTGGAATTGTTTGATCAATGGGTTGATGCGAAATTGTGAGGTGCAGACGGCTGTCGAGCTTTTTGAGAGGATGGGAGAAAAGAATGTAATTACTTGGACCACTATGGTTCATGGGCTATCGCAGAATGGGATGCATGAAAAGGCTTTGGAAATGTTCTTCATTATGACAGAGGAGGAGGGAGTGAAAGCCAATGATTTGACTCTTGTATCTATTCTTTCCACTTGTGCAAAAATAGGGGCCCTTGAAACAGGGATGAAGATCCATAACTATATTAGGAACAATGGCCTGAAGTTAAATGCAGGGCTTGGAGCTGCGTTGGTGGACATGTACGCCAAGTGCGGGGATATTCAATCTGCATCTCGAGTTTTCAATGACACTACAGAAAAGGACACTCGTACTTGGAGCGTTATGATATGGGGGTTTGCAATTCATGGATATGTTGATGAAGCTCTACGATGCTTTGAAAGAATGAAGTTGGCAGGTCTTTAACCAAATTCTTCTGACTTGTTCCATGGTTCTTAGCTTATTGTGTGGATTATAATTGGGAACTGAAGTTTCTGATCTTTTGTTTGCAGGGACAGAACCCGATGAAGTTGCTTTTCTGGCCGTTTTATCTGCATGTTCTCATGCTGGGAGGGTAGATCAAGGTCTTAAGTTATTTAACAGCATGAAGCAGGACTACTCCGTAGCGCCGACCATGAAACATTTTGCAATAATAGTTGATTTATATGGTCGGTCAGGTCAGCTGGATGAAGCTTTAAGATTCATTCAAACCACGGTACCATCTCCGGATGTTGTCATTTGGGGAGCCCTTTTTACAGCTTGCCAAGCACATAAAAATACAGAAATGGCAAAATATGTGGCAAAGAAACTCCTGCAGCTTGAACCTAAGCATTCAGGAAGTTACGTCTTTATGTCAAATGTTTATGCCCAGGTAGGTACCTGGGAAGAGGTGGAAAAAGTGAGAACTTCAATGAAAGATCAAGGTGCAGTGAAAGATCCAGGATGGAGTTACATGGAGGTGAATGGCCAAGTGCATAGCTTTATTGCTGGTGATCATGCTCATATGCACATGCAGCAGATACACTCTAAATTGGAAGAAATAACAAATCGTGCTAGAGGATTGGGCTACACACCTGAGACTGAATGGGTACTTCATGATATCGAAAAGGAAGAAAAGGAGGATGCTTTAGAAAGCCACAGTGAGAAGCTGGCTTTGGCCTTTGGGCTAATCAGTACTGGTCCTAGTGCTGTCATTAGGATTGTGAAGAACCTAAGAATTTGTGGGGATTGTCATTCTCTAATGAAACATGCTAGTAGATTGAGCCAAAGAGAAATTGTAGTAAGAGATTTAAAGCGTTTTCATCACTTTAAGAATGGGAGTTGCTCTTGTCAAGATTACTGGTAACCTGGTAAGTGTTTTTGCTTACAGTCCGCCTTTGCTGTGACTGTGATTAAGTACAATGGAAACAGCATTTTTGTATAGTTACGAGGCTAAGGCTGCGAACAACTGACCCCGCCAGACCCCAACTTTGTTGGGAATATACTGGGTATATTGTTGATGTTGATTTGAATTAATTTTACTTTTGGAGCTTCTATTTCCTTACAGTAATTCTGTTCTCTATATTTCTTCATCCTTCATATACAGCTCAAATCAAGAATAAATCAACGGAATGTCCGCATAACATAAGCTCCATTTAGTTACTGTATCAATTTTATTTTTTTTTTATTTTCTCTCTCTCTCTCTCTGCCTGCTATGTTCTTTTTCTAATCAAGATAGAATCCTTGTACCGGAGCTCTCTAATGCATATCTTGCAGTAGAAATTCAATTGAATCTCATATCTTGTTATGAAAAGCTGCTAAGCTGTTATTACAAATACTACTGAATACAGGTCTCATAGTTCCATAACCAACTAGTAATCTGGGTGACAAATGCCAGAATTTTGTACTGTGACATAGGTCATCAGTCACCCTAGTAAATGCTCTAATGAATTGAATTCATTCCTCATAATATGATTAAAAGATTACAGGCATATAAGTTTCACTAAAGGCTTTGTATTCTGATTCAGATTGCACTCATCCTGGACTTATCTTTCAAATATTTCCATATCTCAATGTTGATATTGGTTTATCAGCCAAAAACCATCAGCAGAGGAGAAAGTCAATTCTTGAGGATAATGAAACTGAGTCAGGGCCAGGTGTTTTTTTTCCTCAGCCTGAGATGCAACTCAGGAGAGCATCCTATAGGTCTTGGAAAACAAGCATCCGAAATGATCTTTCTCAGGTAACAACTGTTCACTGACGATGTAGTATTTCCATGAGCTTCTCAGGTAACAAGTAGACATTTCTTTCAAATATTTCCATATCTCAATGTTGATATTGGTTGATCAGCCAAAAACCATCAGCAGAGGGAAAAGTCAATTCTCGAGGAAGATGAAACTGAGTCAGGGCCAGGTGTTTTTTTTCCTCAGCCTGGGATGCAACTCAGGAGAGCATCCTATAGGTCTTGGAAAACAAGCATCCGAAATCATCTTTCTCAGGTAATAACTATTTACTGACGATGTAGTATTTCCATGAGCTTCTTCTTAGTACTTCTGGATCATTTGTGGCCTTTCAGATCCCCTTCTCAAGAGTACTAAGTGTAGAACTTGCTGCTGCTTGGCTATTATGGAGCAAATTGCTCAACTTTCTATGTCATTTATTTCTTTCATATTATCTTCACGTTTAGTCATTAATTTCATAAGCACTAAGCACCCAGATTATGTTGCTTATCCATTGGCAATTAATTTCATAAGCACGAAGCACTAAGTCTAGTATTAAGCTGGTTTTTCAAATTAAGGGTTGTCATGTCTGATAGTCATAATGCTTCGTGATCAATTGTTGATACTAGTACTTTTGTCTTTAATTATTGGTGAAGCTTAGCACAAAGAGATTGCTAAAAGAAACAGATGGAGATTTTTTTCCTACAGGACTCATCCTTTCAGAACCCCAACTGGTGGGGTAAAGGTTTCTTTTCTTTTTTCTCTTGTATCTTGCAACCTTCAAAAACTGAGGTTTGTTTGGCCTTTTTGCTAAGCTAAATGTGCATTTTCTTTACATAATCCATTCCCTCTAAAACAGTTTAATTGCCTTCACAAAGTCGAATCTGGTACAAGCAAGTGCTTGTCTTAAAGCTCATGGTCTATCTAATTCTATATATTTTGGACTGAATGAGGTAAATTAGTTTCAATAAGCCACCTGTAAACTTCTCTTTAGAAATGAAGACCATTGTTGTTAATTTTGAAAGTTTCAAAATATCTTGTTGGGGCTAGATTTGGACTGCATTTGCTACAATGTTACATTCTGCATGTATGTGTTTGGGAACCTAGATGACTGATTACCGTGCAAAAAACTTTGGGCAGTCGGGCACTTTTACAAGCTCCTGTACTTGTATTTTTGATGAGCCAAGAGGTTTTCAAAGTTAGATGATGAAATGATCACAGCAGAGAAGACAGTGCTCCCAAAAAGAAGGAACTGCAACACAACACTAAACTGTAAACACTCATCTTTCATTCATTGTCCATCTTTAACTTCTTCATTAGCATGTTTGCTGAGTTATTTACCATGCCGGAAAAGTGAGCACAGAAATTGGTATTGTACGGAACATATCGCCATTACTCAACACTTGGTAACCTCAATATGCTCAGATTGTTAGTTCCTGAATCAACATAATCGCCAAAATGTTATCAGTGGCATACAGAGAACAACCTACTCCCCGTCTCCCAAAATGTTATTGGAGTCTGGGCCCTCTGACGAACACAGAACCTCTTGCAACTCTTTCTCGACTGCAACAGCTCCCTTAGATGCTTTAGCATTTGTAATGAAAAAGAATATCAGTGGAAAACACCACACCATAGTTACAATGATTGCGATCTCCTTGACTGCACTCAAATGTCCTCTCACTGATGGTGCTATTATTGCTACCGATATGGCATAAGCAACAGAAATTGCTGTCACTGACATGAACATAGCAATTAGCAAAAGAACAACCACAAGGGTGGGATAGCGGATGAAATCCTTGGGCATTCTTCCCCGAATCAGCAACATTAAAATCGTGGTCAGCGATGATACGAATGCTACGGTGCTCGACACAACTAGACGTCTGTAGTATTTTGGATGAGTTTGTGCCATCATACTTTCTCCAGGTCTGTGCGGATTTGGTCCGTCTAGCGAGTCATCTTGCCAAACACCTCCGGGAGGGTTTAACATAGCTTGAAAAGCCATGGTTGCAATGAGTGAAGCAACCACCATGATTGCATCTTTACTCTTCTCCAGAAACTCTAGGCAATCGTCGGCTATTTGCCTTTTGGAGATCGCTTCAGCCGTTAATGCCTTGGATTGATGAAGAACGTTTATGATTCCAAGAATGACTGTTTCAACACTTTTTGACTTCTTGAAATCATCCGCTGATAAATTAGCCCGTTGCAGGAACAGGTCCAATGCAGTTTGATCATTTGCATTCTTTATGTTGACAATGTTGCTTGTCCGTTGTCCCAAGAATCTGATTAACTCTGCCCTTCTCTGTGTACATGTATTCCGAACAAAAATCCACATAACTACTTTTGAACGCTCTAGCTAGCTACTCTAATTTCTTAAACATAAATCCAGTGAACTTCTCAGGCTTGGATCAGAGCTTGACTCGGCATAACCATGGTAAGTGTTTTGTGAGCCAGCTCGTGTGGACTCAGACGATGTCATGATTATTAAATAAAAAATACTATTTAGTTTTTATAATATATGTAAAAATAAAAGCTTCAAATTTATATGTAACTTGTCTATAGTAAAAATAAATATTAGGGATTTAGAATAGTCAATTGGGTTGCTCAAGAGTAAAAATATCATTAAAATTAGATTATAACCAACATTATTTTTGTATTACTATTATAGAAAAAGTTGTGTATATATGTACTAGATAATTGGCTTTTCATTATTAGACTTTTAGACAAACAAAAACTAAAAAGTTGAACAAAGGATATATATTAAAAATCAGCGATGTTAGAGGCATTAAAAAAATTATAATGAAAATGTTATAGTGGTTGACGTGTACACAATAATTAGAGGTAAAAATATTATTTTAGAAGGAACGATAAAATTTCAACGCAGTGCCAACAAAATATACATATCGTGGAACATTTATAAATTAATAATTGATAAATTAGTAATATCTACACATTAATAATTCTCTTTGGTCCCAAATATGGACTAGTGCAAAAAAACATAAACAATCGATAAAATAACAAATTAATGATTTTTCAGAAAACATCGATATAAATATAGGTCTCATTATTATCATAAATTAATAAGGCCTTTATATATATATAGGAACTAGTAAAATATGAATCCAGTACCGTATTGTTTTTTTTTTTTTGCAATTTACATCTAAAGACATTTTATTTTTCTTTTTTTTTTCATTACTTTCAAAGCACTGTGTAGATTTCTCATATTTTAATAAAAAAATTCAATAGTCATTGCTGTAATAAGTGCTTTTTTGTGTGTGATCAGTTTCGAAAATTAAACAACCAAAACTTGGAAAATGTGGAAAGTAGCAACACAAGGGGGGGGAGTTTTTTAAAATCTGAGCCGAAAAGCAAAACCGGACAAGGTTTTCCCCTAGTCTTGTTTAACAGGGTTGAACGATTTTGATCTGAATCTAACTTAAACAAGATTTGACTCGGAGTGGTAAGAGGTCCGGTTCCGCTTAACCCGGTCCGAGCGTTCAACAACACTGTTAATATCAAATCAAATTACTCCTATGACAACTATTTCGGAACCGAAGAAAAAAAGGAAATTGAAAGTTAATAGTAAGCAAACAGTAGACTACCTTTACTTGGAGTATGTTACCGTAAAAAGCCATATGCCATATGGTCATACCATCCTCGTTTTTGGCACCTATGCCCTCCGGAAATATGGGAAGTAAGAACTTCAAGGCCTCCAACTGATTATACTTTACACACAAATGTAAAACGTTGTTTCCCCTGTCAGCCACCTCTGTAAGCGCATCAAACCATCCATCGCAGACTTCAACGCGACTTACTAATTTTAGGATGTTCAATCTGCCATGGATCGCGGCCAAATGCGCCGGATTTCTTCCATTTCGATCCCGAGCCAAACACGTATGATAGGTGGAAGATGATTTCCATTGTAGAATTTCTATCACACATTTTTCATGGCCAAGTATTGCACTAATGTGAAGAACATTCCTGTGTTCGTCATCCAAGTAGTTTCTATTCAAAAGGTTTGGATTTTCTTCACATAACCGAGAAAGAACTTCGTCATCACCTTTGTATGCTGCATCAAATAGGCTTTCTTTGGCCATGATCATAAGAGACGATATGAATATATATAGGACCAACAGGGGAGAAATTAAGATAAAATGTGGAAGATACCTTAAGTCCTTGACGCATTGAGCTATTCATCTCAAATTTAATGATTCAGAGGTTAGCGACATTGGTTGACATTTTGGTTAAATACATAAATTATTTGAACTTGTCATATTGTTAATCGTGAGAATTAGTATACTTTATTAAACAAAATGAAAAAAAAAAGGACTTAATTTGTTGAACTGCTGTATAGTTCAACCAAATGAATGACTTTTTGAATGAAATTAAGGCGAGGAGCATGCATTCTGGTGATTAGTTAAAAAACAATGCCTAGAGAAAGCAGACTTTTCTTTTCAATTATTAAATGACCAATTAATGAAAATAATAGTGAAAAAAGCTCCTTCTTGTAGTATTTCTATTTAATTTCCAGGAAAGGGAGGAAGAAGAATTTGGATTTAGAAAAGCTAATCTGATTCCGAGAAGGGCTTGAGAAGTTTCTTATTTCTTTTACAATTTTTTATGATCACTTAACCTTAGATTGGACAAGTTTTGATGACAATGAAAGTTACAAAATATACACATCAAATACCTTGGGTCATTGAGAAATCGCAACCCATAATTGGCAGGTTCTCCGACAGAATAACTTGCATGTTATCAAGTTTAAAAATGCAGCTAATACTAAAAAGAACCCCTTATATGAAATGTATATAGGCTTTTTCATTGGAGCTAATTAAGGACAACCACCTTCTTGATGGCTGACAATTTGCCGCATTGTTGTAGTATTAGAAAATCTTCAGACGTGTGAGAAGCGCAGTAGTTTTGAGTTTATTTAAGACGCTTATAATCTCATTACGAGTACTAGAGGATCAAAGAAACGCCGTACGTTGTCCCTGGAAATAAAGTCGTACGCTTAGAAAAATAAAGGGGTAAACTTGCTAGAACATGGCTTTTGATGAACATTAAGGATCAAGGGCCAAGAGGAAAATTCGTTGTAACCTCTTAAAACGGAGATTATTTGACCATTTTGCTCAAACAAATGTATATTTTCTTCCCTCTCCAACTTGAGGGTACGTACCTCTTTGTTATTCGTATTTGAGGGTTTCATTTCCATTTAAGCCTCATTCGCCAAATCAAAACTAGCAATTCTCCTACAATCAGTGATGAACAACCGGAGCTTCCCACTCTTGATGTCCTTGCGCCAAATATTTATCCTTATTTGTCATACAAAAAAAAAAAACTAGTCAACTACTTAGTTCACCAATCATCATACGAGTTATCATAACTGAAAACCCAAAATTCGCAACGATATCGTGATTTCCTAATTTCTGTATATTTTAATGCAAGGTTATAAAAGAAAAATGCATCATCCAGGGTATAAATGATTCTCCAGGTTTCACTGGATAATAAAAATAGTGAAAAATATAATATACATCATCATCAGTTCTTCCATTGTGATCATCTTTCGTCTCTTCCCTTTAGATATAAATTTTAGTTGTCGGATTAATTAGTCCTCCTGAGAATTTCATTCAGCATTCGCATCCTCACGTCTTCTGGCACAGATTTCATGGTGAGAATCCATTTGATCTCAGGATCCACATTATTATTACTTTCTCTCACAAATTCTTGCCCTAACATCTTTACGAAAACTCGTCTCAACTCGTTCAGCTCCGGAATATCATAGGGACACCATCCCGAAGCAGCAAAGATCAAACTCGAAACCGCTTCGCGTACATCACTCGACAACATGATGACTCATCCTTTCTCTTTCTGGTAGTGAGCAATTCACCAATGTTGTTTTCGAGTAAACGATCACAAAAATATTCGACAAGATCGTAAGCAACCAAGGTTTTTTGTTCCTTGTAAAGATGATCGAGCCTTTGAAGCGCAGATTGAGTGTGGCCATTTCGAAGGAGTTGCGCAATGTCTCCTTGGAGCTGTCTTATAATAGCGTTTCTTCAGTTCTTTACTGGTATTAAACGAAGCTTTATTGACTCTATTAGGGTTTTGTACCTTGAAGCTTCCTTCCGTTGCCGGCGACTTACCCCACAATTCGAGCAAAACATCATCTTTACGGGTGTTTTTCTCCGGCTGTCGGAGCAAGAAAAAGGACTAATTTAGCTAGGGTAAATAGTGTAGCAAATTATAGATCAACAAAGAATACCGATTAATTATATTTGTTGGGAGAGTTATAACCTTCGAAAATGACTTAGGGGGTAAATGCTTCCGACACCAAAGTGTAATTAAAAGACCTAAGGAAAGCGAAACAAATCAGGTTGTCGACTTATATTGCTCAACTATTGGTGTTTTACCAGGAGGGATCGAATTTTGGCCCAATTCGGTTTTTATTTTTATTTTTATTTGTGTTGCCTACGTACAATTGGACTAATTTAGGACTAAATTACAGCTATAGGGTTTCCAATATATATATATATATATATATATATATATATATATATATATATATAGTTACTTTTCTGCCTTCGAATTCAAAAAAAAAAAAGAATAAATAAAGTTTAGGTGTATTGAGTGTTTACTTTTATGAGTTACTTCCCCCCGCCAAAAGAAAATACTGTTTTTAATTTTCATATTGATGATGATTGGAAAGGAAAACGTTTGTCTTGGATTACGGATGTCGTAAGAATGGATGTGCTTATGTTTTCGGCATTGGGGGGAACTAAATTTACTTTTGATGACGGGTCAATTGCGACTTAATTTGGCATCGTAGGTCAAAGATCTTTCTCGACGGATTTAGGGTTTAGGGTTTAAGCTAGAAGAAGAGTTCATTGGATGTTTGAATGTTTTTACCATATGTAGGTTAATTTGCGGAACTGGGGAGGTGATTCAGCAAGCGAATTAAGTGAGGATGCAATGCCACATAAAAATATCAAAATAGGTGAAGAAAAATATCTCAAATGAGTGAATCCCGGCCCCTTGAACTGGACGTCTAGCTAGATCATCATCTAAAACAATTCTTAAGGGTGCGATTCTCTAATCTGATGATGCCTTTTTAATTAATCTCATTGATTCTTGGGAAAAGGACAATGGTGCAAATAATGCTGGTACATAACGCACAAACTAGCATGATCCTAAAGATATGATGGAGGCTGATATCATCGTTTCTCAACATATATGGTACATTTGTTAGGCTCTTTTAAATTCTTCTTGAATTTTAGCTGTCAGACATTTGTAACGTGTAGTAATTACTCTAAAGTACCAAAATAGTGTGTTAAACCTCTTGAGCATTTCACTCCATCCAAAAAAATAGAAAGAAAAAAAAATTGTAAAAATTGAGAACAACCAGAACCAGTTGACTTTTGCTTCCAAGTAACAGACTTGAAACATCATTCAATAATGCCAACTAGTTAGGAGCTAAAAGAAATTTATAACATTATTCCCAGCATTTAGCTGTAAAGATTTTTAAACTCCCAATCACATACAATTATGCTCATTTACTTACTAATTGAAATGTGTCAATCAATGGAATTTATTTTTCCTTCAGCTTGAGAAGTCAACTTCAACCAGGTTGGGAAAGAGATGAAAAAGCACATAGATTTTTCGGAACATAAAACTTTTATCAGAAAGAGGGTTACATTTATTTTATAAGAAGTCTAGTATATAGACAACTCTACAATAATAACTCCTAAAATCCTAAAATATCTTTAGAAAATCTACGTACAAATTATAAAAAATCTCAAAGACTAATCTTAACAAAATAATCTAAACAAATATGAAATTCTAATTTAAATTTTATTTATCTAATTAAATCTTGTAGTAAAAAACATAAATTAACTAACAAATTTCTTTTTTTTTTTTTTTACTGCAAACCCCTGCATCTTCAAACCAAGTCTTCATTTTCATTTTCATCTTCATCTTCTTCATTCACAAAATTGATTTGTTGCTTGTATTTGCACACTTTTTCCATGTGCCCCCATTTCTTTGCAACCCCTGTGTTGAACATCAAATCTAAACTAACAATATTGTGGCAAGTGAGAAGGTTTCTTACAGTGTTTACAATGAGGATATTTTCCTTTACTTTCACTATTTTCAACTGAATTCACGGTCTACCTTTTACCTTTACCAATTTGGTCCACTTTATAAATTCCCTCAATAACATGATCTACTTTTTCCTTTCTGAAAACTCTTCTTTGCTCTTGAGCTTCAAAGGTTAAAAGTAGTTCCGCTAGAGATATTTTTGATAAATCTCTAGTTTCTTCAAGAGAAGAAATTTTATACTCAAATCTTTCTGGCAAAGTTACTAAAATTTTTTTAACAACCCGGATATCCGAAAGTTGTTATTCTAAAAGTCTGATTTTATTGACTACCTTCATCAATCGATCTGTGTAGTCCTTCAATGGCTCTGTCTTCGACATCTTCTGTATTTCAAATTCCCTTTTTAAGTTCAAGATTTGTATGCGTTTTGTCTTCACATTGTCTTGATATTCTTGTTTCAAAACATCCCACGCCTGTTTCGCAGTCTCGCAGGCCATGATTTTTATGAACACCTCTTCTGATACAGCTGAATGAATACAAGTTTTGGCCTTGTTCCTCCTCTTTTTACCTTCCCTGAATTCTTTTAATTGTGCAATTGTTGGATCTTCAGGAAGTGGTTGGAATTCATCATTTTCCATCTAACTCCCATAATCTACTTACTTCTAGATAAACTTCCATTTTGACAGCCCAAACATAATAATTTTCTCCTTTAAAAACTGGAGGAGCAGACATGAAATTATTCCCTCCTTCTATTGATTAAAAAAAAAAATTGGCTAAAAAGATTTGTTTGTTTAGAAAGGTTCCTCACTGGTTCACTCACACAAGCCCCTAATTGAACCTAAACTCTAGATACCACTTTGTTGGGAAAGAGATGAAAAAGATCACAAATTTTTTGGAACATAAAATTTTTATCAGAAAGAGGTTACATTTATTTTATAAGAAGTCTATTATATAGACAACTCCACAATAACCAAAAGAGAAAATAACTCCTAAAATCCTAAAATATCTCTAGAAAATCTATGTTCAAATCATAAAAAATCTCAAAAACTAATCTTAACAAAATAACCTAAATAAATATGAAATTCTAATTTAAATTTTATTTATCTAACTATATCTTGCAGTAAAAAAAAAAACAAATTAACTAACAAACCCCTATAAATTTGTTCCTTTTTTTCAACTCAATCCATAACCAAAGCAAAAAACATATACTCCAACCTCACCATCTATTATCAAACTTCATCAACATTTGTTTTTTTTTCTCTTTTTCAGAATCATCACGTCGAAGAAGCTCAGCATGGGTCGTCAAAAGATCAAAATCGCGAAAATAGAGATTAAAAATCATCTCCAGGTCAAGTTCTCAAAACGTCGTTTTGGGCTATACAAGAAGGCGCACGAGCTCAGCACACTCTGTGGAGTAGAAATGGCCATCATAGTGTTTTCTCCAGGAGGCAAAGTTTCTCCTTTGGGAATCCTAGTGTTGATTACATTGTCGATAAATTCAGGTCCAGAAACAAGAACCACCAAAGGACAGTGACACCGATGAATTCGAGTTCCAATTGGAATACCATCCAGCAGGAGCTGAATTCCCAGCTGACTGAAATTGTGAACGAATTCGAAGCTGAGAAGAAAAGGGGTGAAGCGTTTGATCAAACGAGAAAAACCAGACAGAATCATTGAGGACCTAGTTGGGGTCATAACTTTACAGAGTAGCACCACGAAACTCTTTCATGTTGGCCTTGTACAAGTTTCAACTTCGCAATTACACCTAAACTGATTCCGGTTGCTTGTTTCTCCAAGACTTAAAGAGGATGCCCAACATAGTCAGATCAGCCCTGACTGTCAGTTTACTCTGCTCAAGACGACTTTTAAACCTCTGCTGTAGCCAGTGAGCCACTGGCTGACAAACCAACTGAGATGTATATGAAAGATGCTGTCCAGAAGGAGTGCAATCTGTACCAGAATACAAGGCTTCCAGTGAATTTTCTCCGACTCAATTCATCCAAACCACATTATGAGGAAAAGTAAATTCGAGAAGTTATGAGGCATTCTGTGCCTTTGAACATTTAGAATGGTTAACCGATGTGCTATGGATATTGCAGGGGCTGGATTTTTGAATGCATTTGCGACAATGTACATTTGTATACATGAATTTGGGAACATTGAGTACAGGACACTTCCATACAATTGTACAGGTTATCTCTAATTCGAATGAAATGACGGGCAAATGAATTCCCCCCACACCTTTGCCTTCTCTCGCTTCCCAGTGACAAGAATAACAGAAATAGAGTACATAATTTAACAAGCCAAAGAAGAAGCAAGATTCTTATAGCATTAAAGCTGTGTTATCAGACTGATAACAGTAGAAAAATGACGATTCAAACAAAATTTTCCCAAGGGGAATACAGTAGGAAGGGACAATCGCTGCTCTATCTTTTACATTTTTCTATCATTTAAACAATATTTCTAGTCGCTGGACATTAATTAGGGCGAAACTAAACTCTCAACATGCATAAACGCAGTTTCAATAAGCCCTATCTGCGTATAACTGCAGGATGTTTTGGCCTTTAAGTCGATAAGAAACAATGCTGAGCGCAAGATGCATAATATTTCACCATCCCTCGATTCCCAAACTGATTGAGTAATGTAATAAGATGCAGGAAGCGCATCAATATAAGGAATAAAAACAACTTTGATCCAGGATTCCTTCCAAACCCAAACATCTGCGTGAGTATTTCGATAGTCATAAATCACAGAAAGGCAACCTCCCATCTCTCCAAGTCCATAACTATACTGGACTTCTTTGTTCTCTGGGGGGAAGTCCATGATTCCATAAGTTTCATTCCCCAAATCGAAGCTAGCAATTTTCCAATCATCAGTAACATCAAGGGTAGGCCAATAAAACTTTCCGTTCACATAATGCAAACGGCTGAATTCCCCATCAAGAACAGCCTTAAAATCCTCTATCCTGCGACAAGAATCAGTCTTGAGACTGTACACAATGATCTCATTCACATAATGAGATACACCAATTACTTTATAATCATCATTCAGAGCATCATAACCAAATCCAAATTCAGCTCCCATGTATCCCCATTTTGTACCCAAGTGAGGCAGTTTCTTATGCTTTTTGGTACAAGGGTTACACAAAAACAATTCATCAAACAAAGTACGAACGCAGATCAACCCATTGCAAGATCCTAAAGGATAATATGACTTATTAGACTGGATTAGATAATCGATGCCAAATACCTCTGCAGGGGTGGCTTCAGTTTCATCGGACGCCGGGTTTAGTATAGAATCAAGAGTATACAGCAAATACTCCGGGTCACGGTCACCGGCACTGGCACCGTCACCATCACTGGAATCTTCAGAGCCATTATCATCATCAGAGGGGGTTGCTATGGAGAGCATGAGACGATGGTGGGCATAATTATTCCTTCTAGATGCAACCGCGAGATGGGTTTTGATGAATTCTGGGCTGGAGATCAAAGAAAGCCATGGTCTTGAAACACACTTGAATTTCCCCAAGGGTTTGGCCGGCAGCCTTGAAAGGATTTCAATGGCGATTTCGTCTGGGTAATCGGGCATCAAAGAAAGATCTGGTTCGTGGGCAGGAGGAGGAGATGAAGAAGAGGGTAATCCCTCATTGATTTTGTTTCTATTTGGCGGGTCCGACCCGGATTCCATGGCTACTTGGTGACTGTGACACTGTGAAGCAGAGGGGTTTTGTATTTCTAACAGGAAAGACGAAACTAATCGGCGCGGAAAGTCTTCTTTTATCTTTTTCTTCTTTTATTTTTAGTTTTTTACTAAATGATAACACTTTTTAATTTGTAAAGTATTTATTTTTTAAAAAACTTTTGGTACTGCCGGTAATCCAATTTGGTAAATGTTGGGAGCATTTTCATAAATAATTTACCGTGTAAATCTTTGGAATACGGTTTTTTTTTTTACAATAAAGAAGGACAAAGCCTAAAAATCTATACTAATACATTTTGTGAATGAAAACTCCCGACCAAATTGTGTTATCACCACATAAATAAGATCAAGCATAACAAGAAAAAATCCAACCTTTCTATTTTGGATACAATGCATGATATCCATATTTCAAATAATGTCACAACACCATTCTTCAAATATTCCTTAGGACTGTAAATCCCAAATTTGTCTCATCATCCGTTACTGCAATATCATTAAGTGGACTATCATCACTTCGTCACCTAGCTAACGGTTCCTCTGGAAAAATAATTTTGCTTTATTTTGCTTTGAGATAGATTAATTAAGGGGAGGAAACTTTTGGATCCAAAACTGACAATGGATTTTCCATACTATTTTTGTGTATCAATTCCTATTTAACATCTAAATACATAACTAAATATTTTTTTCATTACTATTTGTTTCACCAATAATCAGTGGCGGAACCAGTTACTCAGACTTGGAGGGGCTGACTATATATACATAATCAAGATCGATGCCCAAATATATATGATGTAAGGTTAAACTTGACTATTCTTAAGGGACTTTTCGGCCAGTCGGAGGGGCTCAGTACCCCCGAGCCCCTTAAGAGTTCCGTCCGTCCATGTCAATAACCACTCACAATATGATAATCTCAAAGAATTTTTTTCAAAGAGTTAGAGTCTATTTATTTGAGGATTTTGAATATAAGAAATAAAAAGATGTTTATAATCCTAACAAAAGAAAATACAAGAGTAGTGGAAAAATAAAGTGATATTAGTAAAATTGACCATAATGGAAGTGGTTTTTAATGATGTAAACATCTAAATAAAAATTATAAAACTTATAAAGAGGAATTGGAATATGGAGGAGTAAAAATAGTATAAAAAATTGGTATAAGAGATCTTTAGCTTAGTGAACGAACGAACACAATGATGTGCTGGCTTTAGTTATTTTATACACAATTGAAGTCGCATACATACGATGATAAAGTTGTTGTGTACGTGATGGTTTTTCTATTTCCCCTAAATAAGCAACTCTTTGATATTCACGAGAGTAAAATTGAGAAGTTTTAAAAAAGACATAGGAAAACAATGCCATTCACCCTTTTACAATTTATCAAGTTTTTTTTTTAAAAAAAAAAATTGAAATCTAAGCTTAACTTAGGAAAAAGAAAAATTGAGGTATAGTTTTTCTTCACTTAATCTAATAAAAGAACTCCTTGAAATGATCTATCTAGAAATTTATATAGACTCATGTTATGTATTCGTTATAAATTGATTGGTTTGTTTCTACACCCGAACAAAATACATTACCATAGTTTATAAGTCACTCTTATAAAAATATATAAAAAATAAAATTGGAGGAAATAATAATTACTCCTCACTTGCCCTTGGCGCGCAATTCAAATCCTTCGTGACTTATTTAAAAACAAGAAATGCTTCTTCATTCATACACTTTGTTAACTATAGTCATTAAAAAACCATCAAATACTCTAGTAAGAATATTGAAATGATCTCCAAATTAACGTCCAAATTTTCCGTATAGGCATCTTTTCCAAAGGATTCTGAGCATTGCCCGGCTGATTTCTTCATCTTCTTCACGAAATGCTATCAGCTTTAAGAAAATTCTGTTCTTTTGATGATCGATTTCAATGCATTACTCACGGGCCTGACAGAAAATTCAGACATTGAGAAACCAATCCAGGGTCCTTAAGCATTTGGTAGGGCTTGATGTTAGACCCAATGGGCTCACATTGCCATTTTGTGTTAACATCGGTTGTGGGATTGGGTGATCTAAGTCTTGGTGCTGTGGTTCATGGGCTTGAATTTAACAGTTTTTGTCAAGGTATCTTTGGTTGATATGTTTGCGAAGCTTGACTTACTGAGTTTCTAATTACAGTTGTGATAAGATTAGTCAAAGATCTCATTAGTTAGAATTATTTAAATTCTATTTATTTAGATTATTTCAAATTTTATAATATATATAGATCTTAACTAATGTTGATGTATGCCTATAAATAGAAATAATGTAATGTACTGCTGCAAACAATACAATTAATGATTTCATCTTCTTTCATAAATGTATTTCTCATCATGGTGTCAAGAGCAAAATCGATCCTGTACTAAAATTTTTTTTCTTTCTTCACAATATCGCACCACTGATTATCTCCAAAAATCACTATTGCACACAATATTTCACACACTACTACACGTTATCTTATTTTATTTTATTTTACTTTTTTTTCCTTTTCTTTTTACTCTAATCACCATTATTTTAAAATGACTATTTCACAATCACTCACTACTACTCAATCATTTCCTCTCTCCAATATCACAAATTTTATCACTGTATCTCTTGATAACTCCAACTATCTAATTTAGAGAGATCAAATTGAAGGAATTTTAATTACCACTGATCTCAATGGTTATATCGATGGTTTAATTTTACCACCAAAAGACTCTTCACCTGATTCTACTATTCCAAAAGAATTTCTTCAATGGCAAAAACTTGATCGCCTTGTCAAATGTTGTCTCACTGCCTCGTTGTCTTCTTCAATGGCATCGGTGGATTGGGGTGTCCTACTGCTCGTGACCTTTGGATCAAACTCGAGCATCATTTTCTTCAACAATCTACAGCGCGTAGATCGCAACTACGCCAAAAAATTCATAATTTTAAGAAAGGTTCTCTCACAGTCAATGATTTTCTCACTTCATTATCAACTATGGCGAAAGAGCTTTCTGCTGTTGGGGGATACTATCCCTGATCATGATCTTGTTATTCTCGCTCTGAATAGTCTCTCATCTGAATATACTTCCTTCATCACCACTATAGAGAATCTCAACCCTCCTCCCTCATTCACAGATCTTCGAGCAAAACTGCTTCTCCGTGAGCAACGTTTGCAATCATTTTTGCCTTCATCAAAAGCTGCACTCCATACTACTGTGAACTTTCCAGTCTGTAGTTCTCGGTCTCGTGGTAAACAGTCACAACCCAATTCAGGCTGTGGTCGTGGTAAACTCTCTCCCTACTTTCCTAATAACTCAACTCCGCACCCATTTTATCCGAACCCCAATTCATACGGTCCACACCGTCCCTTCAACACTATCCAAAATCGCCCAAACTAAGCCCAATTCCCCATCCATCCTTCTATTCCCTATAAGCCTTATACCTCATCCTTTTGCCCTTACCCCAACTTTACCCAACAACCCAATCCTACCCAATGCCAAATCTGCAAAAAATTCAACCATTCCGCTGTTTTTTGTCGTTTCCGCTACGCTGAATCTCGAAATAATCAAACTCATCGTTCTTCTGCTCCCACAAACATGCCCACTGTTTTTCACACCTTCACTGTCCAAGAACCCCAACCTAAAGACTTTTCATCCTTTACATCTAGTGATATCCCTGAATGACTTCCTGATTCTGGCGCCCAGGCTCATATGGCACCTGATCCTCTTTTAGTGGATTCTACCACTCCATATCATGGTAATCAGGAAGTGGTTGTTGGCAATGGTACTACTCTTCCTATTACTTCTATTGGTCACACTGCACTCACCAAGCACCCAAAACCTCTTTGTTTACGTAATGTTTACACTGTTCCCCAGCTTACTACAAACCTTTTATCTTTTAGAAAATTTGTCACTGATAATTCATGTTTAATGGAATTTTTCTCCTTTTGGTTATGTTATGAAGTATCTAGTCACCAAGATTCCGTTTCTCGCGGGTAACATCCACAATTACCTCCATCCTATGAAGATTTCTAAGACATTCCACAATCTGTAGCTTTGGCTGCTCGTGCTGTTCCTCCTGATCTTTGGCATCACCGTCTCGGACATCCGTGTCACTCAACTCTTTCATCTTTAGCTCGATCTTTGTCATTTAAATCTTCCAAAATAAATTCTTGTAATTCTTGTTTGCAATGCAAAAGTACTCGAATTCCTTTTACTCCATCTTCTCGTGTTTCTAAAGTACCGTTACATTTAATTCATTGTGACATTTGGGGTCCAAGTCCTTGTCTCTCTCTTTCAGGTTACAGGTACTTTATTATTTTTATCGATGACTTTAGTCGTTTTACATGGATTTATCCACTTACTAATAAATCTGATGTCGTTCATGCTTTTCAAAATTTTAAGTCATTTACTAAAAATTTATTTTCTACTAGTATCAAATATTTTCAATGTGATGGTGCTCCCGAACTTGTGAAAGGTATTTTTGCTAATTATCTTCGTAATCATGGTATTTCTTATCGCATCTCTTGTCCCCATACTCAACAAAATGGAGTTTCTGAAAGAAAAATTCGACATATCACTGAAACCGGGCTTACTCTTCTTCTTCATGCTTCTCTTCCCAAATCCTTTTGGGTTGAAGCTTTTTCCACTACCACCTATCTAATCAATCTCCTTCCTACTCAAGTTCTTACTAATAAATCTCCTCATGAGGTTCTTTTTTCCAATCCTCCCTCCTTTTCTCATCTTCGAGTATTTGGGTGCACTTGCTTCCTATTTCTTGGGTCTACTCGTGCTGACAAATTATCCCCTGAATCAATTCCTTGTGTCTTTTTAGGCTACTTTTCCCAACACAAGGGATATTGTTGCTTTGATCCCAAAAGTTCCAAACTTTACATCTCTCGACATGTAAGGTTTCTTGAAACTGATTTTCCTTATGCTACGTCTCAAACTTCTACGTCCTCTCCAATTTCATCATCACGGGTGTTGCTTCCTTTACCAATGTCTATTCCTCCTCCTTTTGTACCTTTTTCCAATACTACGACACAAACTCTTTCTTTAACAAGGCTTTCTTCTCCACCACCCTCTAATTCCCCACCTAGACCACCTCCACCACCATCTAGTTCCCCGCCTAGACCACCTCCACCACCAAGATATCACATGACCACTGATACCACAACTCGTAAGCCTAACCGTTTAAATGATTATGTTACCTATATTTCCTCTCTTACTTGTCCTCCTGAACCTGACCTCACCTCTTTTACTCAGGCCAATAAATTTCCTCACTGGCGTTAAGCTATGCTTGAAGAGTTTAATGCTCTTCAACGTAATCAAACCTGGACTCTAGTTTCTCCTCCTTCTAATGCTAATATTGTGGGTCGCAAGTGGATTTTTTGAACTAAAAGAATATCCGATGGGACTCTTGAGCGGTATAAAGCTCGTTTAGTAGCTAAAGGCTACCATCAATGTCCTGGCATAGATTATACAGATGCTTTCAGCCCGGTAATCAAACCCACTACCATTCGCATTGTCATCACCATTGCTCTTTTAGTAGCTAAAGGCTACCATCAATGTCCTGGTATAGATTATACAGATGCTTTCAGCTCCTAGAGCCTGGTTTCACCGTCTTAGTCAGAAACTTCATACTCTTGGTTTTATTTCCTCTAAATCTGACACTACTCTTTTTATCTTGTCTAAGTCCTCACACACTACTTTTGTCCTAGTTTATGTGGATGACATCTTAGTGACTGGTTCCTCTTCTTCCTTCATTCAATCTCTCATTGATGAGCTTCATTCTACCTTCACCATCAAAGATCTTGGTTCCTTCATTATTTTCTAGGTATTGAAGCTCAATCTACATCCACCAACCTTCTTCTTTCTCAATCTAAGTATATTCAAGATCTCCTCACTCGCACTCACTTTGACACATCCAAAAGTTCTCATTAGTTAGAATTATTTAGATTCTATTTGTTTAGATTATTTCAGATTTTATAATATCTAGATCTTAACTAATATTGATGTATGCCTATAAATAGAGGCAATGTAATGTACTGCTGCACACAATACAATTAATGATTTCATCTTCTTTCATGAATTTATTTCTCCTCAAGTTGTTTGATATAAGTCTTGAAAGGAATAAACTTGAGAGTTAAGAGTCTACTTCTATGGAATCCGGTGATGAACGGGTTTTGTTAGAATGGGATTTTGAAGAAGGCTAATGGAGCTGTTTGAGGCAATACCAAAGAGGAATTTAGGCCTTGGAATTGTTTGGACAACGGGCTGATTGCGAAATGGTTTGGCGTACAAGCCTGTGAAGCTTGACACAATGGTTCATGGGCTATGGCAGAACTGGATGCAAAAAAAAAAAAAAGGCTTTGGAAATGTTCTTCAATATGACAGAGGGTGTGAAGGCCGATGGTTTAAATCATAATAGTGTCCCTTGAGAACTAGGATAAAGATCCATCACATGCCACAACTGATCTCACTTCCTTTGCAATATTGGATTTGTAGTCAAGTACCAAAAGCTTAAGAAAGGATTTGTATTGAACATTCTAAGGAATCATCTAAGCAGCTGTGTGTCCTGAGATATTATTAATAGTTATTCGAATGACTAGCTTTTTTGGTCGCATGATTGTTGCTCGATCTCTAAAACCAGATGCAATGCAAGATTATCAATGTACAAATGGTCTTTTGAGATACAAAGGGAAAAGGGTTTATGTCGGAAACAATAAGCACTTAAAAAGGCAAATCATGCAGGCATTTTCTCCTTGGTGTTTATCTCATTTTGGTGCAGCTTAGAAAGAATGACTAACAGAAATAGACCATACATGACAAGCGTAAAAGAAGCAATGTACACACAAGCGAAATATGATAGTGTGTGTGTGTGTTTGTGGAGATATTAACAATTGTCCCACACTTGTCCTTGGCGCGCAATTCAAATCCTTCTTGACTTACATAGCAAACAAGAAATGCTTCTTTGTTCACACGCTTTGCACGTCAATGAAAAACAATAAATGAAAAACCATCAAATACTCTTAGCAAGAACTAATGTTGAAATGATTTCTAATACAATTAAAATAATTGTCCCGCTGATTGCTAAGATAATGCATATCGTAGTTGCCAACAGGATCCCCCGCTTCATGTATATATGGCAACTAACCAGCTAACTTTAGATATAAGAAAAAAGTGTCAAATTTGTCCTGAATTTTGAGGCCGACTTTAATTTAGTCTGAAAGTATTTTGAAGACTTCAATATCATCCCAACGAATCATACTTAGGCCGATTTCATCCTTCCGACAACATATTAGCAAATTTCCGGCATTTTGACTTAGTCAACTGGCATCATCTCCAACTTTATCATCGACAAACTTTAATTTACAATTGCCCAAAGTTTTATGAAATTATAGAACAACCCTTGTCTTTTTCTTCTTTTCTTTTCTTTTTTTATTTTTTTTAAGTTATGTTCATTCTTTACTCTCTTTTAATTTTCATTCTGAAAGTTAATTTTCTTTACAACTGCGTAACAATTCATATGATTTCAACCTTGCGCAACTTAAGAAAAATAAAATGTTTAGTTATTTAATTAACTTTTACCTTACTTTCTAGACATCACATTACTTCCATAACTCAACCACACACATAATGAAATCTTAGCCCTAACATATAGTAGTAGAATATAGAATATCACCATTTCTTTTTTCTTTTTCTAGTGCAAAACGATTACGTCATGCAGTTTAAAAATCATATGCATATATGTCTAAAGCCAGATATATGTAAACCCATAATCATTTAGCCACTGATTTTATCAGGACAGTTTTTAGCATTCAGGACAAATCTTTGTTTATTTTCCAAAATTGCCCCTCTTAAAGTAATATGAGTCTTCCCTGATATTCGGTCGAACTTACTAATTTCATCAGATCTCTATCCTTCCCTCTCTATACGGAGTTCCTTTCTCCTCTCTAACTGGTGGCCGGCAACATTAATCTTTTTCGTGGTTTATTGCTGCCGTTAGAGTTTCTTTTAGAGTTTATTTTTGCCAATTTCATCTTTGCCTCCAAATGATAACTTGAAAGGGTAAACCTTTTGCTTGAATTTGATAAGCTAAGCTTTATAGGGGGATTCGATTTGTGGAATTGAGTGATCAATTTCTTATTTCAGTGTTGAATCAGTGTTCCATACAGGGGCGTAATCGGTTCTGGTGGCAAGATGTGTGCCAAAGATGTTCAAGATTTAATACAGTTATCGACTTGTGGCAAGTTTGCTGGTTCTTATTTCAGAGGCTGCACAGGGAGTAGGTGGAATACTTGATTTAGCTCCGGGTCATTTGCCTGCTTTTATCTCTGACATTGTGACCATGGCAAAGGGAATCGGAAACGGGGTTCCTTTGGGGGCTGTAGTTACAACTCCTGAGATTGCCGATGTTTTGACTTGTCGAAGCTATTTCGACACTTCTGGTGGAAACCCTGTATGTGCTGCAGCTAGACATGTTGTGTTGAGAGTGATAATTGAAAGAAAAACACAGGAGAATGCACAAGCGGCCTTAGTGCCCTCAAAGATAAGCATGAAATCATCGGTGATGTCAGAGAAAGAGGCCTGATGCTTGGAGTTGAACTTTCACAAATCGTGAACAAAAAAACACAGATCCTGCTGCTTTGTAATTTATTCGCCTAAATCACAAGATAATGATTCCACAGCTCAACTATACTTTCCTATGTCAGAATGAATGAAATAGTAATATCAGTGCTTACCGCAGTAATTATAAACTGGTTCGGAGCTTGCTGCTGCTTTCGCAACCAAGGTTTTCCATTTGTAACCACAAAACATTTTCATTACTTATAAAATTCCTAAACATCTTGTTGGGGCTGAATTTGGAATGCATGTGCTACAATGTACATTCCGTATACAACTTTAACTGATAAATCCAACTGAAAGAGTGAATCATAGGAATAGAAGCCAAAGGAGGGACAACATCACACTAACTCACATTGTCAAACCACATAAACACCCGCAGCTTAATGCTACCCAAGCATTGATCTCGGGTTGTGGTCAAAAGAGCAAAGAAACTCTATGTAACAGTAGAGAAGAAGAAATGGAATCAGCCATATGAAGATACACAAATTATGCTAAAAAAAAGTATTTCAGAAAGTAACATTTCACTGTTAATGGAAATGCAGGGGAACAGGATAAACCATTTGCAACATGAGCTATCATTTCTTGGCCATTGTAAAGCAGCCCTATGTCATGGATATAAGGGCGAAACTAAGCTCTCGACACACAGAATTGCATTTCCAATAGTACCTACATGCTGACACCTCCTGGAAGAGTTAGTCTCTGCATCGTAAACGAACAACCCTGATTTTAAGAGGCACAATATTTCACCATTCCTTAAACCACAAATTGATTGAGATATGTAATAAGTTTCAGGATGCTGATCAACATGAGACACGGAAAAAACTTTAACCCAGGAGTCCTTCATTACCCATATGTCAAAACAATCTCTTTCATAGTCGACATAAGTCAGAGAAAGGCAACCTCCTATCTCTCGAAGTTCATAATATTCATATTGCCGCTCTTCCTTATTCGGGCGGTCCATGGTTTCAAATGTTTCATTCGCCAAATCGAAGCTGCCAATTTTCCAGTCCTCAATTCCATCAGGGATGGGATAATAAAACTTTCCACTTGCAAACTGGAGAAATCTGCCCTCTCCGATTCCTGCCCACCCAACATGGAAATTCTCCATCCTGTGCCAAGAGTTGGTCTTGACACTGTACACACTGATTTGACCGTCATTCCAAAACAAAACTACTTTATAATCGTCATTCAAAGCATCATAACCAAATCCTAAATACTTCAAGTCTACAACCATGTTGATACCCCATTGAGGCAATTTTACAAACACTTTAGTGACAGGGTTACAAACAAACAATTCATGGTCCCAGGTCGTCATACAAACTAACCCATTGCAAGAACCCACAGGCCAAAGTGAATTTTCATAATTCAATGGATAATCAATGTCAAATACCTCAGTAGTTGGTGTGATTTCAGCATTTGCGTTCAGTATAGAATTCACAGAATGAAGCTCGTGCCGGCAACCGTCTGAGGAAGAAACAGTGATCATGAATCTTGGGCTTCCAGAAGCTATTTCCAAATGGGCTTTGATGAATTCTCGGCTTGAGATTAAAGAACACCATGATTTTGCAACACATTTGAATTTCCCCAAGGATTTGGTGGGAAGTCTTAAAAGGATTTCTAAAGCGAGTTCGTTAGGCAAATCAGGCATCAATGAAGGATCTGATTCGTGAGTAGAAGGAGAGGACGAAGAGGGATTTCCCTCCGAATTCTGATTGATTTTGGTTCTGTTTGGTGGGTCTGATCTGTTTCCCATGGCTGCTTAGAAATGGTAACATTGTTCGGCAGAACGCTTTATTACTCTTTGATGGGGAAGAACGGGTTGCTGGTAAACTTTGAAAAAATAAATAAATTAATAAAAATGTGGAGTAAATACTTTATGCAACTCCTATTATCTATGGTAACAAATACAATTATGCTATAGAATAGAATTTGGTGTTACATCATAAGAATATACAAATCCTTATCATACTTTGGCTAGAGCCTCAAAATTAGATTTGACTAACTGTACGAGTTTCGAATTATTCCCTCCGTCTCAAAAAACTATTGTTCAGTTTGGATTTCATTTTTAATTCAAATTGTACTAAAAGATAAACCACAAATATTCAGTATTCGTAAGAAATACTTTAATTTTGTAACGGAACAATAGTAAATCTTTAACAAAGCAATTTATTAAAAAAAAATTAAAAGGAAAAACATTTTTGCTGTATTCCCCCATTTACATACATTCAAAAGAACTCTTTTAACCACATAAACTTGAGAACTCTAGAAATGACAAAGGAAAGCAATGCATTATCAATAAAAAAAAAGCTCATATGAATTTGAAATTTACATCATGAGTTTCTTCACTTAATCAATCAAAATGTGTCTTTTATGGGAAAAAGGTCCTTTACTTAGAGTTGGAGGCTCTAAGTTGAGTAAAATTCAATCATTAACGGAAATATCAGAAGAAACAGATAAAATATTGCTCTATACGCTTACATTTATCTGTATATTCTGTTCATGATTCCTGAGGATTAGACCGAAACTAAGGTCTCAACATACATAAACATATCTACAATACGACCCATCTGTGAATACCTACGAAGTGTATTAGTTGTGGATTGTAAAGGAACAAGACTGAACGTAAAACGCACAATATTTCACAATTCCGCGCCAAACCAACTGACTGAGTGCAATAACAAGAAGAATCAAAAGGTACACCAAAATCATTATCAATAGAACCAACTTTGATCCAGGAATACTCTTTCATCACCCAAACATCCACCAAATAAGTTTCATAATCACAAATCAGGGAAAGCCAACCTCCAATCTCTCCAAACCAATAATAGCTGGTCTCCTTGCAGTTAGGCCGATCCATGATTTCGTACGTTTCGTTCTCCGAATCGAAGCAGCCAATCTTCCAACTATCACCACTCTTCCAGCTATCACCTTCATCGAACAGTGACCAATAGACCTTTCCGCCGGCATAATGGAGACATTCGAACTCCATAATCTTTGGAGCCCCGATATTGAAATCCTTCATCAAGCGCCAAGAATTAGTCTTGAGACTGTACACAATGATTTTATAGGCATGATTCAACAATTTTATCTCAGTGTCATCCATAAAAAGTAGACCAAACACGGAACCGACATAACCCGACTACTTTATAATCGTCATTCACAGCATCATAACCGAATCCGAAGTTCCTCCATGTGTAATTCTGTTTCATACCCGTTTCAGGCAATTTATTAACTTTTTTAGTACAAGGATTGCACAGAAACAATTCGCCATCGTGATCATCCTCCCAACCTCCAATCTTCACGCATACTAGCCCATTGCAAGAACCTACAGCCCAAGATAACTTACCGTGCTTCATTGGATAATCCAAGTCCAATGTTGGCGGTGGCGATGGCGGTTTCAGGGGAAGCCGTCTCTTCGAGTATGGAATTTACAGAATGCATCCAGTATTGGTTGCCGCCGGCTGAGATGGGTGCGGAGAAGATGAGAAAATGCTGTTCATAATCATCACTTCCAGATGTAATTGCGAGATGGTTTTTGATGAATGTTGAGCTTGAGATGAGAGAAAGCCATGGTTTAGAAACACATTTACATCTACCCAAGGACTTAGCTGGTAGTCTTAACTCTTAAAAGGATTTCAATGATGAGTTCTGTGGGAAGATCGGGCATGGGTAAAGGGTCGGATTCATGAGTGGGAGCAGAGGAAGAAGAAGAAGAAGAAGAAGAAGAAGAAGAAGAAGAAGAAGAGGGAAATCCATCTAAACTCTGATTGATTTGGTTTCTCTTTGGTGGATCTGAGTCTGACCCTGTAAGGCAAAGGCTTGATAGTTTTGCTCCCATTTTTCTTACAGGGAAAAAGACGATACAACGTTGTATCGTTTGTTTGTACTATGTAGCAAGAAATGAGAAGATTTACAATCTGGGAATAGCATAAAGTTGTTTGTTTTGGTCTGGTGATTCTGTATTCCACTATTCCACATTCTAATACTTTATCAAAAGTTTGTAATAGCAATACTTTTCTGATAAAGTTTGTCTTCAGAATTCACTTTTTTGTCGGTTGTATCTCTTTGTTCAAAAGTAATTCATAAGTGTGAAGTGGAGCTGCGGTTAAAGCATAATAGCAAACTATTCTTTCGCCTTTTAGTGAAGAAGAATACGGTGTGCTTTCGACAAAGAGAAACGTGCACCCATTTCTGGAAAGGCTTAGTCTCTAAGATTCAAGAGCCCTCAAGAAAATGCCAGATGCTTAATATGGAAGGTCATTGCCACCCCAAGAAGTATAGTGCGATGACATATCTGATTTTAATTAATTAAGCCCTCTTTGTTGGATTGTTTTCTTGGTTCTTGCTGTTTCGTATGATTGATGAAAACTTCCTGTTAGCGTGATCTGATGAATCGAATATGATAAGGAGAATTTAGTATGATTTCTGTATATTAGTCTGCATATGTAACTCCTGGGAGCTTCCTAAAACTTCAAAGGACACCCTTATTTGATCATATCATGGTCATTTCAAGTTGCATAACTTTGCAAATGTAATGCAGTTGTTGCTGCTTTTGTCATTTGAATGCAGCGTAATCAGGAGAATAACATGTTATCAGGCTATCAACCGCTTTCCTGTTTCAGACTGAAGACTTCTGACATTATACACATTAGTTTCATCTTAGGATTTGTTCACTAAGGGGATTGTGATTAGTGTGCATACTTAGCGACATTTCCAAGTCTGGCTTTGGAAATGTTCATTAATATGACAGAGGAGGAGGGAGTCAGGGCCAAGGATTGAAGGTTTTTATCTATCGTTTCCACTTGATGGGAGCCTTTGAACTGGGGATATTCAAGTTAAATGCAGTGTGTTCCAAGTGTGGGAATATTCAATCCGCGGGCCAGGTTTTCAATGACGAAAAAGAAGAGGACATTCATACCTGGCGCAATATGAAGTTGGAAGGAAGCTCTTCAGTCCTTTGAGAGGATGAAGTTGGCAGGTTCTGAACCAGATTCTACTTCAGACTTGCTCCATGGCCTTTAGGTTTATTATTTTGAGCTACACACATGAGACTGACTGGGTGCTTCGTGACAAAGGGAATGAAAAATAAGAAAGATGCATTAGAAGCCACGATGAGAAGTTGGCTCCGGCGATTGGACTAATCATTACAGGTCCTAGTGATGTCAATAGACTCCCATTTGATGATGAAACATGTCAATAAACTGAGCCAAAGAGAAATTGTAGTAAGATTTATGGTGTTATCAAGGGGGCTTGCTCTTGAGTTGATATTTGTGGGTTCTGATGACTTCGGATAAAGAAATTTACTTGTGCAGCGTCTATGTGTTTACAAAGATTCTGTTCTCAGTTTTTGTTTAACATTTGCAAATAATCAAGTTAAGGTCCTCTGGACATAAGTTGCTATATGATTTGTCCCTACTCTATTCTGTCCATTTTCAAAACTAAGGATAAATCATTGGCGAAGCTTTCTACAGCGATAGTTCAATCGAGTCACATATCTAGTTATAGAAACTCCTACCCAAGGAATAAATAGCTGTTATTGCAAAAATTCCTGAAAATAGGTCTTGTAATTTCATGACAAACAAATAATGTCGGTGACAAATTTCAGAATCCAGTATACTGCAACAAAATGATTCAGAACTTCGAAATTAACTGATAATGGTCATCGTTTCAAAGGAAAATTACAGATGACTTACTGAATTGCTTCATGGAGGACCTAGTTGGGGTCATAAATTTACAGAGTAGCACCACGAAACTCGTTCATGTTGGCCTAGTACAAGTTTCAACTTAACAAATACACCTAAACTGTTCTGCAGAACTGATTCCGGTTGCTTGTTTCTCTAAGACTTCGAGGATGCCCAACATAGTCATATCAGCCCTGACAGTCAGTTTAAACCTCTGCTGGTAGCCAGTTAGCCACTGGCTGAGCATGAGATGGATATATTGGGAGGATGCTGTTCATAAGGAGTGCGATCTATACCAGAATACAAGGCTTCCAGTGAATTGTCTACGCCTTGAGTCATCCGAACCACATTATGAGGAAAAGTAACTTCGAGAAGTTATGCGGTATTCTGCGCATTTGAACATTTAGAATGGTCCACTGATGCAATGCAGGGGCTGGATTTTGAATGCATTTGCTACAACATACATTTGTATACATGAGTTTGGGAACACTGAGTACAGGACACTTCCATACACTTGTTGCAGGTTATCTCTAATTTGAATGAAATGACAGGCAAACGAATTTCCCCAACACCTTTGCCTTCCTCTCGATTCCCAGTGACAAGAATAACAGAAATAGACTATATATTTTAACGAGCTAAAGAAGCAGCAACATTCCTATAGCATTAGAGCTGTGTTATCAGACTGATAACAGTAAAGAAACAATGTTTCAAACAAAATTTTCCCGAGGGGAATACAGTAGGAAGGGACAATCGCTGCTCTATCCCTTTACCTTTCTACCATTTAAACACTATTTCTAGTCGCTGGACATTAATTAGGGCGAAACTAAACTCTCAACATGCGTAAAGGCAGTTTCAATAAGCCCTATCTGCATATACCTGCAGGATGTTTTGGCCTTTGGGTCGATAAGAAACAAGGCCGAGCGCAAGATGCACAATATTTCACCATCCCGCGATTCCCAAACTGATTGAGTAATGTAATAAGATGCAGGAAGCGCATCAATATAAGGAATAGAAACAACTTTGATCCAGGATTCCTTCCAAATCCAAACATCAGCGTAAATATTTCGACAATCATAAATCACAGAAAGGCAACCTCCCATCTCTCCAAGTCCAAAACTATATCGGACTTCTTTCTCCTCTGGGGGGAAGTCCATGATTCCATAAGTTTCATTCCCCAAATCGAAGCTAGCAATTTTCCAATCATCATTAACATCAAGGGTAGGCCAATAAAACTTTCCGTTCACATAATGCAAACGGCTGAATTCCCCATCAAGAACGGACTTAAAGTCCTCTATCCTGCGCCAAGAATCAGTCTTGAGACTGTACACAATGATCTCATTCACATACTGAGATACACCAATTACTTTATAATCATCATTCAGAGCATCATAACCAAATCCAAATTCAGCTCCCATGTATCCCCATTTTGTACCCAAGTGAGGCAGTTTCTTAAGCTTTTTAGTACAAGGGTTACACAGAAACAACTCATCAATCAAAGTACGAACGCAGACCAACCCATTGCAAGATCCTAAAGGATAATATGACTTATTAGACTGGATTAGATAATCGATGCCAAATACCTCTGCAGGGGTGGCTTCAGTTTCATCCGACGCCGGGTTTAGTATAGAATCAAGAGCGTACAGCAAATGCTCCGGGTCACGGTCACCGACACCGGCACCGGCATCGTCATCGGAATCTTCAGAGCCATTATCATCATCATCTGAGGGGGTTGCTATTGAGAGCATGAGACGATGGTGCGCATAATTATCCCTTCTAGAAGCAACCGCGAGATGGGTTTTGATGAATTCTGGGCTGGAGATCAAAGAAAGCCATGGTCTTGCGACGCACTTGAATTTCCCCAAGGGTTTGGCCGGCAGCCTTGAAAGGATTTCAGTGGCGATTTCGTCTGGGAAATCGGGCATCAACGAAAGATCTGGTTCGTGGGTAGGAGGAGGAGATGAGGAAGAGGGTAATCCCTCATTGATTTTGTTTCTCTTTGGCGGGTCGGACTCGGATTCCATGGCTACTTGGGGACTGTGACACTGTGAAGCAGAGGGGTTTTGTAATTTGTATTTCTAACAGGGAAGAAACTAATCGGCGCGGAAAGTTTTTTCTTTTGACGTTTTTCTTTTTTATTTTTAGTTTTTTATTAAATGAAAATTGTTATGCATAAATCTGACTTGATTCAATGTCCATATTAATATGTAATTTTTTATTCACAATCAAGAAGATATGATTTTGCAATATTTAGCTTTAATGATTGGTGATTCATTTCTCATAGTTTGATCCACTACTTCTTTCTTGTATAAATAGGGAGCTCATTCATGATTCAAAACACATCTGAATACAAGTCTCTTATCTCTCTCTACTCTCTTGTCTATCCTCTTTGTTCTTATACTTAGTTTCAAATTAGAAGTCTAGCATTAATTTTATACTTAGTTTCAAATTAGAAGTCTAGCATTAATTTTTTATAACACGTTATCAGTACGAGGCTCTAGTCAAAGAGCTTCTACCACCGCCCGAAGTTGGTGTGTATTGATTCTGAAGACCTGAAACCTTAATCAATATTTTAATCCTACCACCATGTGAAATTGGTGCGTATTGATTCTAAAGGTATCAAGCATCAGTGAATATTTTAAAAGGATTTTTTGACCTGAAGCGCCGTGACCTCAAGTCACTTCAAGATCTCGGTTTAGGATTGTCAATTCAAAATTGCGAAAGTGAATTCGACACGTTGAAATTATACTATTTGATTTTGTATTGACATGTCTGAGTGACATGTAATTTTATAGTCAATGAGTTCTTGGACAAAACCCATCTACCGTTTTTCTTTATTTTACTTTTGTTTTGATTTCTAATTCCATAAACTAAATTACCTATTTTGTTATGATCTAATCTCGTTAATATCAATGCATTATTCGATGATTATGTTATGATGCATATTATTTATATTATTCTCTGAGAAGAGTAAAAGAAAAATAGTGGAGATAAATAATGGAGTTTTTGTTTCCTTATTTTGGTTCAATCTAAACTTTTTAAAGTAATTATAACCTATTGGTTCAATACATGTTTGCGTATTGTTGGTGTTATTAAGTTTTTGTAGTATAATTATATTTGTAGGTTTTCTTTTTCCTATAAAACAAAATTATTTGAAAAGCAAATTGTTGCTATGATGTAGTGATTTGCTATGTACATTGACAAGGATAAATGTTTTAGTTTTTATTTTATTTTTGTTATATATACTATTATTGCTTCGTGAAAAGATGTCACCCTTACTTTGAGATTTTTCACTTCCTGAAGCAAGTGAACTATTACTATATAGATATATTTTTTACCCGAAGTGAAAGATTAATGATAACAAAAACAAAGTTGCTCCTGAAGTAGCAATGTTACGATAATATATTTATCATATTAAATTGCTACAGTAGTGAAATTATAGTGAAATCTTATAAATCGATTTCTTTCTCCTAAAGCGAGTGGGTAGTAAATTATTTTGTGACAAATTGTAGACATTAAATCTACAACAATAATATGGTAATTATGTACCAAATACAACTCTTCACCTAAAGTGAGAGATTGAATGATGATCAATTCCAGGTCGGATACCAACCAAAAGTTGGGAAGTAATGATGAAAAGATAAGAAAGGCGTTGAAAAAAAAAAGCCTTCGATATGGTATGACGAACAATTAGTCACATATACATCATATACCAAAACATCTTATAGATCTCTATTAGCAATCGATGAATAAAGAAAAATCGAAAATACAGACAAATATAATTTATAACAATGCTGATGATGTTGACCATGGCCTCGTTAACAACGGCTTTACTATTTTATATATTGCCGATTTCTTTGTCAAACATCCTGACGGTGATGTGAAAATTAATTTAGAGATAGAAATATCTAATATATCAAACACCCTGAAGGTATTGTGATCTTTTGTCCACTATAGCAATTATACTATTTAATTGACATTTTCTATCTACACGTTTCAAAGAAAATAAGATCTAAATTTGTTAATGGCTGACAAGCCGTCGTCACACTAGTCAAATATTAATTACCTACTTAATACAATTACTAGTAGTAAAGCAGAAAGTAGGGTCGATCCCACAGAGAAGGAATACTAATTACCAGGTATAAATTACTCCTATTATTATCTAGATAAATGATGATCTCAGATTTATAAAATTTAAACCTAAAATAAATAAATAAAATAAAATCAAATAATATTAATTCAAATAATCAGACAAAGAAAACCTAGGACATTGGGTTCACCTACCGAATATTTGGTTTAGTTCAATTCACAAATATCTGACTTTTAACTTCCATTAATCTCACAACGATTCACCTAATTAAGAACTATTCACTCTCGTGTTATAATTCTCTTACTTAGATTAACCCTATGACTACTCTCGTGACTATAGGGATTAACAAAAGCACATTAAGACCATTAAGAATCAAATATTGCAAAGGTTATAATCTTACTCTCGTAGCTTACAACCTAAATTTATTATTCCTAAAAACTAATACTAATCTTCCACTCTCGCTACTTCGATTAATATCTTCAGACATGCAAATAGTGGCCAATTACTTACACGAATTAAAACAAGAATAACAAATATTAATTAATGGAAAAATCAAATAATAATGAACCAAATAAACCAAATAAATTCGGTGGCTACACCCAAGCCCTAGATTAAAGGAATTTAGCCACTAAACATTATAAAAAATAATTCAATACTATTTAGAGACATAATAGAATAAAAAAAATAAATTAATTAAAACTCCAAAACCCGAATGAAGCCAAAAACCGCCAAAAACTCCCCGACGGTGCTAACTTTGCGGCTGGTGGTGAAGAAGCTTTTGACGGTGCGTGACTCTGCCGGTGTTGATGCTGCTGCTGCGCGTGGTGTTGCGTGTGCGAAGGCAAGGAAGCAAGGTGTGGTCTCGGCGGTGAAGAGGCAGAGGTGGTGCGTGGATGTGGAGAAGAGGAAGAAGGTGGAGCAGCAGTGGTGGTTGTGGAAGCAAAGTGGTGGTGATGCTGCTTCGGTGGTGGTGCGGGGTCAGGAGATTGCTGGGGTTGATGTTGCTGCGGCAAGGATGATGGTGTGTGAGGGTGAAGCAAGGAAGGAGGTTGTGATGATGCTGCCGGTGAAGGAGGAGGGAGTTTGGTGGTGGTCGGCGGCGGTGAACAAGGAAACAAGAAGGTGGATGGCGGGGGAAGTGGTTTGCAGCCGTAAGGTTTTCGGCCAGTTTTCGGTTCAGTTCTGTTGTAAAAATAAATCCCTAATCCTCCTTTTATAGGCTTCTGTCAAAACCCTGCTTCTTGGAGAGCAAGAAAACTTGTTTCCCAAATAATATGGGGATTAAAATTCTTATCCAATTCCAATCCCAAATCAGCCGCACCATCATCGTTTTCGGCCAATTTCCAACAACTAAAAATAAAATTCCAAAATTGCATCATCGGCCCTTCAACTCTCTAAATTCATTAATTTCTTCCCCATCAATTGCTTCAATCTTCAATTCTTTCCCATTGAGTTGCTTTTAATTCGATTTTAGCTTAAAACTTCAGCAATTCTTCATTTGAGTACAATTCCTACAATTAAAGATAAAATCACATAAATAGCATATTTGTTCTCAAAATATATTGCAAAAATCACAAATTAGGGATATAATAAATAGGTAAAATATAAGCATATCAAATACCCCAAACTTGAATTATTGCTTGTCCTCAAGCAATCCCAAACATTAAACAAGCAAAAACATTTAATTATTTAATTTGGCAGCCTCAGAGATTCAATCACGTCATATAACACAAAGATTTCGACTATCTCTAGTATGGACTACCTAACAATGCAAACCATAGCTACTTTTAGCCCCCACGCTTGTGTATGTGCTTCGTTTCTTAGGGACATCATTTTACATTTAACATAGAAAACAAAAGCTCTACTGCAAATATGCCATTTTACTTTAACAACAGACTCACATTTCATATCATATTTTAATGCAATGGACCACCGGACATGCTATGAAGTAGAAGGACTTATCTCACAGACAACCTATTTCCCCTTGTAACCCATTCTTCGGTCCATGTGATTTTTCTTCAGGACTCTTTCCAACTCAGGCCACTACCCAGATCATTTTTCTACTCCTATACATAGTGGCCCAGCAACTTAGGGCAGTCTACATATGTATTTTCCTCACCGGGCCTGAGGACTCTCCGCTCAGGTTACCAATTCCTCACCTCTCAAGGGGCTAGCATCAACATTGAATGCTCTTCCTTTTCTCCCTCATTAAAATTTACCTAACCTCAGAAGTATCCGCCAACACCCCTCCCCCAAACTTACTTAACACAAAGTGTCAAAGCAATAAGGTTTTTTAAGGCTGATATTAGGTTAATGCCTTGCTTTTCCTTCACAACATGATGGGTTCCACATACAAATCATATAAGTATGAGTAAATCAAACACAACTTTTCATGGCATATCTACATCAAACTTATGCAACTATATCTCACTTTAGGCTTATCCCACAGTTACGACTAAGTGCAAAAAAAACAGGGTATTCAAAGCAACATACAGAAATACATAAGTTAAGCAATACAATTCAAAATAGTCTAATTCTTACATGTTATAGATAATCAAACCATCTTCATCCTAGGCCTTTTTGGATTTTTCAATTTTTTTTTTCATTTTTTATGGGTTTTTTTTTTTTATTTTTTAAGAAGGATAAACACAAAACGCATTCCTCTCCCCCACACTTAAAGTATACATTGCCCTCAATGTATAAAACACAAAAGGCAAGACAACCAAGTGAAAAGAAAAGAAAAGACATAAACAAAAAGAATGAAAAGAAACGACACAACCTTGGGAATGTGAAGTGGAGGACCGGAATTGTTGAATAAATTGTTGCAACTGCCATTCAAACACATGACCAACTTCTTCAGACTTTTGGATGTTTCATTTTCAGCACCATTGGACACCAGAGTTTTGCCCTTCGAACAAACCTAATTGCAAAACTAAAGTAAATTAGAAAAAACAAACCTAGAAAAAACAGATGATTAAGAAAAACCACGAAATTCCAGAAATCAAAGATCTCCAGATAATCAGG